ATTCCTGCTAAAAGCTACATTGAATCTCCCTTCGTATATTATTAGATGGGTCAGTACTTCAAATACACGTACGCAAGTAGATTTCATTCTGAACCTCTGTGACAAATACTGTGTCATGCTGAAATCTATCTTGATGAAAATATAAACACTTTTAGAATGGTGTGTTTTCATTGCTGGTGAGTATATATCTGTATGTATTGAAACTGTACACCCGATGTATGTTTGACTATGTCGGTCCCTTGATATATTGCAGAAGAGCTGAGACAACGTAAGTATAAAACTGTTACATTTTGTTGAAAGAAGATTGCAAAATAATTGGATTGTATTCAGTGATATGAGACTGGAAAATGATACTGCTTACATCTGTGTGAATGCCTTCTGCTTTTGCCAGTTGAAACTATTAGTAACTGTTCTTACCTAGGTGAAAATATGAAGTTGGACATATCCCTTTGGGGATGTTCCATTATTCCCTTACTGGATTATTCTGCACATTTGATATTCTCATTATAGACAAGAATTTCACAAGATTGATTTGTCTACATACAAGTCAGAAAGTAATTGGAAACGACAAAACTATCACTTTAGAGGTTAAATTCCCCCCGAGCATATCCTGGGGAGCATCGGTAAAGGTTATTGGTATTGTTGCTTTCGATACAGTCTTAGTAGATCGATATGACAGGAACAACAAATTAATTTGCGATGGTTACATGTTCTTATGCATGGGAATTAAGAAAACTCAACAGAAAGTAAGACCAGACTTTATCTGTATTCCTGCTAAAAGCTACATTGAATCTCCCTTCATATATGATTAGATGGGTCAGTACTTCAAATACACGTCCGCAAGTAGATTCAATTCAGAACCTCTTTGACAAATACTGTGTCATGCTGAAATCTATCTTGATGAAAATGTTAACACTTTTAGAACAGTGTGTTTTCATTGCTGGTGAGTATATATCTGCATGTATTAAAAAAGTACACCCGATGTATGTTTGACTATGTTGATTCCTTGATATATTGCACGGGGTTTGAGAGAACGTAAGTATAAAACTGATACATTTTGTTAAAAGAAGATTGCAAAATAACTGTATTGTATTCAGTGATATCAGACGGGAAAATGATACTGCTTACATCTGTGTGAATGCCACCTCCTTCTGCCAGTCATTCCGTGCATTTGGTATTCTCGTGATCAGCAAGAACTTTACATGATTAATTTTTCTATATACAAGCCACGGAGAAATTGGAGATGACAAAACTATCTCTCCAGAGGTTATGTTCCATCCGAGCATATCCTGGGGAGCATCGGAGAAGGTTATTGGTATTGTTGCTTTCGATACAGTCTTAGTAGATGGATATGACAGGAACAACAAATTAATTTGCGATGGTTACACGTTCTTATGGATGGAAATTAAGAAAACTCAATAACAATTAAGACCAGACTTTACCTGTATTCCTGCTAAAAGCTACATTGAATCTCCCTTCGTATATGATTAGATGTGTCAGTACTTCAAATACACGTCCGCAAGTAGATTTCATTCTGAACCTCTTTGACAAATACTGTGTCATGCTGAAATCTATCTTGATGAAAATATAAACACTTTTAGAATTGTGGGTTTTCATTGTTGGTAACTATATATCTGTATGTATTGAAACTGTACACCCAATGTATGTTTGACTATGTCGATTCCTTGATATATTGCAGAAGAGCTGAGACAACGTAAGTATAAAACTGCTAGATTTTGTTAAAGGAAGATTGCAAAATAATTGTATTGTATTCAGTGATATCAGACTGGAAAATGATACTGTACACCCAATGTATGTTTGACTATGTCGATTCCTTGATATATTGTATTCAGTGATATCAGACTGGAAAATGATACTGAACACCCAATGTATGTTTGACTATGTCGATTCCTTGATATATTGCAGAAGAGCTGAGACAACGTAAGTATAAAACTGCTAGATTTTGTTAAAGGAAGATTGCAAAATAATTGTATTGTATTCAGTGACATCAGACTGGAAAATGATACTGCTTACATCTGTGTGAATGCCTCCTCCTTCTGCCAATTCAAACTATTAGTGACTGTTCTTACTAAGGTGAACATATGTAGTTGGACATATCCCTTTGGGGATGTTCCACTATTCTCTTACTGCATTATTCTGCACATTTAATATTCTAATCACAAAGAAGAACTTCAAAAGACTGATTTGTCTTCATACAAGTCAGGAAGTAATTGGAAACGACAAAACTATCTCTTTAGAGGTTAAATTGCCCCCGAGCATATCCTGGGGAGCATCGGAGAAGGTTATTGCAAGTGTTGCTTTCGATAATGTCTTAGTAGATCGATATGACAGGAACAGCAAATTAATTTGCGATGGTTACACGTTGTTATGCATAAAAATTAAGAAAACTCAACAGAAAGTAAGACCAGACTTTACCTGTATTCCTGCTAAAAGCTACATTGAATCTCCCTTCGTATGTGATTAGATTGGTCAGTACTTCAAATACACGTCCGCAAGTAGATTTCATCCTAAATTCTTTGACAAGTACTGTGTCATGCTTAAATCTATCTTGATGAAAATATTGACACTTTTAGAATGGTGTGTTTTCATTGCTGGTGACTATATAACTGTATGTATTAAAACTGTACACCCGATTTATGTTTGACTATGTCGATTTCTTGATATATTGCAGGGGTGCTGACAGAACGTAAGTATAAAACTGATACATTTTGATAAAAGATGATTGCAAAATAACTTCATTGTATTCAGTGATATCAGACTGGAAAATGATACTGCTTACATCTGTGTGAATGCCACCTCCTTCTGTCAGTTGAAACTATTAGTAACTGTTCTTACTAAGGTGAAAATATGTAGTTGGATATATCCCTTTGGGGATGTTCCAGTATCCCCTTACTGTATTATTCTGCACATTTGATATTCTCATTATCAGCAAGAACTTTACATGATTAATTTTTCTATATACAAGTCACAGAGTAATTGGAAATGACAAAACTATCTCTCCAGAGGTTATGTTCCACCCGAGGATATCCTGGGGAGCATCGGAGAAGGTTATTGCTATTGTTGCTTTCGATACAGTCTTAAGACATGGATTTGACAGGAACAACAAATTAATTTGCGATGGTTACACGTTCTTATGGATGGAAATTAAGAAAACTCAACAGAAAGTAAGACCAGACTTTACCTGTATTCCTGCTAAAAGCTACATTGAATCTCCCTTCGTATATTATTAGATGGGTCAGTACTTCAAATACACGTCCGCAAGTAGATTTCATTCTGAACCTTTTGACAAATACGGTGTCATGCTGAAATCTATCTTGATGAAAATATAAACACTTTTAGAACGGTATGTTTTCAATGCTGGTGAGTATATATCTGTATGTATTGAAATTGTACACCCGATGTATGTTTGACTATGTCGGTCCCTTGATATATTGCAGAAGAGCTGAGACAACGTAAGTATAAAACTGTTACATTTTGTTGAAAGAAGATTGCAAAAATAATTGTATTGTATTCAGTGATATCAGACTGGAAAATGATTCTGCTTACATCTGTGTGAATGCCTTCTGCTTTTGCCAGTTGAAACTATTAGTAACTGTTCTTACTAAGGTGAATATATGTAGTTGGACATATCCCTTTGGGGATGTTCCATTATTTCCTTACTGGATTATTCTGCACATTTGATATTCTCATTATCAGCAAGAACTTCACAAGATTGATTTGTCTACATACAAGTAACAGAGTAATTGGAAACGACAAAACTATCTCTTAAGAGGTTAAATTCCCCCCTAGCATATCCTGGGGAACATCGGAGAAGGTTATTGCTAATGTTGCTTTCGATACTGTCTGAGTAGATCGATATGACAGGAACAACAAATTAATTTGCGATGGTTTCACGTTGTTATGGATGGAAATTAAGAAAATTCAACAGAAAGTAAGACCAGACTTTACCTGTGTTCCTGCTAAAAGCTACATTGAATCTCCCTTCGTATATGATTAGATGGGTCAGTACTTCAAATACACGTCCGCAAGTAGATTCAATTCAGAACCTCTTTGACAAATACTGTGTCATGCTGAAATCTATCTTGATGAAAATATTGACACTTTTAGAGCGGTGTGTTTTCATTGCTGGTGACTGTATATCTGTATGTATTGAAATTGTACACCCGATGTATGTTTGACTATGTCGATTCCTTGATATATTGCAGGGGTGCTGAGAGAATGTAAGTATAAAACTGTTTACGTTTTGTTAAAAGAAAATTGTAAAATAATTGTATTGTATTCAGTGATATCAGACTGGAAAATGATACTGCTTACATATGTGTGCATGCCACCTCCTTCTGTCAGTTGAAACTATTAGTAACTGTTCTTACTAAGGTGATCATATGTAGTTGGACATATCCCTTTGGGGATGTTCCATTATTCCCTTACTGCATTATTCTGCACATTTGATATTCTCAACATAGACAAGAACTTCACAAGACTAATTTGTCTACATACAAGTCAGAGAGTAATTAGAAACGACAAAACTATCACTTTAGAGGTTGAATTCCCCCCGAGCATATCCTGGGGAGCATCGGTAAAGGTTATTGGTATTGTTGCTTTCGATACAGTCTTAGTAGATCGATATGACAGGAACAACAAATTAATTTGCGATGGTTACATGTTCTTATGCATGGGAATTAAGAAAACTCAACAGAAAGTAAGACCAGACTTTACCTGTATTCCTGCTAAAAGCTACATTGAATCTACCCTCGCATATGATTAGATGGGTCAGTACTTCAAATACACGTACGCAAGTAGATTTCACTCTGAACCTCTTTGACAAATACTGTGTCATGCTGAAATTCATCTTGATGAAAATATTAACACTTTTAGAATGGTGTGTTTTCATTGCTGGTGACTGTTTATCTGTATGTATTGAAATTGTACACCCGATGTATGTTTGACTATGTCGATTCCTTGATATATTGCAGGGGTGCTGAGAGAACGTATAAAACTGTTAGATTTTGATAAAAGAAGATTGCAAAATAATTGTATTGTATTCAGTCATATCAGACTGGAAAATGATACTGCTTACATCTGTGTGAATGCCACCTCCTTCTGTCAGTTGAAACTATTAGTAACTGTTCTTGCTAAGATGAAAATATGTAGTTGGACATATCCCTTTGGGGATGTTCCATTATTCCCTTACTAGATCATTCTGCACATTTGATATTCTCATTATAAACAAGAACTTTACAGGGTTGATTGTTCTATATGCAAGTTACAGAGTAATTGGAAATGACAAGACTATCTCTCCAGAGGTTTTGTCCCACCCGAGGATATCCTGGGGAGCATCGGTAAAGGTTATTGGTATTGTTGCTTTCGATACAGTCTTAGTAGATGGATATGACAGGAACAACAAATTAATTTGCGATGGTTACATGTTCTTATGGATGGAAATTAAGAAAACTCAACAGAAAGTAAGACCAGACTTTACCTGTATTCCTGCTAAAAGCTACATTGAATCTACCCTCGCATATGATTAGATGGGTCAGTACTTCAAATACACGTACGCAAGTAGATTTCACTCTGAACCGCTTTGACAAATACTGTGTCATGCTGAAATCTATCTTGATGAAAATACAAACACTTTTAGAATGGTATGTTTTCAATGCTAGTGAGTATATATCTGTATGTATTGAAATTGTACTCCCGATGTATGTTTGACTATGTCGGTCCCTTGATATATTGCAGAAGAGCTGAGACAACGTAGGTATAAAACTGTTACATTTTGTTGAAAGAAGATTGCAAAATAATTGTATTGTATTCAATGATATCAGACTGGAAAATGATACTGCTTACATCTGTGTGAATGCCTCCTCCTTCTGCCAGTTGAAACTATTAGTAACTGTTCTGACTAAGGTGAAAATATGTAGTTTGACATATCCCTTTGGGGATGTTCCAGTATTCCCTAACTGGATTATTCTGCACATTTGATATTCTCATTATAGACAAGAATTTCACAAGATTGATTTGTCTACATACAAGTAGCAGAGTAATTGGAAACGACAAAACTATCTCTTATGAGGTTAAATTCCCCCCGAGCATATCCTGGGGAGCATCGGAGAAGGTTATTGCTAATGTTGCTTTCGATACTGTCTGAGTAGATGGATATGACAGGAACAACAAATTAATTTGCGATGGTTACACGTTGTTATGCATGGGAATTAAGAAAACTCAACAGAAAGTAAGACCAGACTTTACCTGTATTCCTGCTAAAAGCTACATTGAATCTCCCTTCGTATAGGATTAGATAGGCCAGTACTTCAAATACACGTCCGCAAGTAGATTCAATTCAGAACCTCTTTGACAAATACTGTGTTATGCTGAAATTCATCTTGATGAAAATATAAACACTTTTAGAATGGTGTGTTTTCATTGCTGGTGAGTATATATCTGTATGTATTGAAATTGTACACCCGATGTATGTTTGACTATGTCGATTCCTTGATATATTGCAGGGGTGCTGAGAGAACGTAAGTATAAAACTGTTACATTTTGTTAAAAGAAGATTGCAAAATAACTTTATTGTATTCAGTGATATCAGACTGGAAAATGATACTGCTTACATCTGTGTGCATGCCACCTCCTTCTGTCAGTTGAAACTATTAGTAACTGTTCTTACTAAGGTGAATATATGTAGTTGGACATATCCCTTTGGGGATGTTTCATTATTCCCTTACTGGATTATTCTGCACATTTGATATTCTCATTATCATCAAGAACTTTACAGGATTGATTTTTCTATATACAAGTCAGAGAGTAATTGGAAATGACAAAACCATCTCTCCAGAGGTTATGTTCCCCCCGAGGATATCCTGGGGAGCATCGGAGAAGGTTATTGCCAGTGTTGCTTTCGATACTGACTTAGTAGATCGATATGACAGGAACAACAAATTAATTTGCGATGGTTACACGTTGTTATGCATAGAAATTAAGAAAACTCAACAGAAAGTAAGACCAGACTTTACCTGTATTCCTGCTAAAAGCAACATTGAATCTCCCTTCGTATATGATTAGATGTGTCAGGACTTCAGACACTCGTCCGCAATTAGATTTCCTGCAGTACTGCTTCCACAAATATTACATTTCTATACCGAGTTCTACAGTTTGTCCATGCACCCCTTGACAAGTGATTTTAAGTGGTTTATTTGTTTGTTTGGTATTTATAAACCATTTGGCCCCCCAACCTGAGCTATTATATCTCTCGTGTGGAATACGAGAGGGAGAGAGAGAGGGGGCGGGGAGACCGAGAGAGACCTAGAGAGACAGAGAGAGACACAGAGAGACAGAAGGGGACAGAGATATCAAACAGACAGACAGACAGACACATACGTCCTGATTCTTGTTAACGCGATCCGTCATGAACTGTGGTACTGAATGTCTTCACATTTTGCGGCAGCCTACATTTGGAGATTACGCAGACGACAGTCGATGTTGGTGACCTTGGCCTTATTTTCAAGGTCACCACGACACATTGACCACTTTTCAAACTAATGTTAACGTGATATCTAATGAACTGTTGTATCCAATGTCTTCAAATTTGGTGACAGCCTATATTTTGGGATTACACAGGAACCAGTCGATTTTGGTGACCTTGATCTCATCTTAAAGGTCACCACGACACTTTGACCAGATTTCAAATTCGTGTTAAAGTGATATCTCATAAAACATTGCACCTATGTCTACAATTATGTCGACAGCCTACATTTGGTGATTGCTCAGACACCAGTCATTTCAGGCATCTTGTTTGTGACCAAAAAACACAAAGGAGTAAATATGTGATAAATATTTCATTCTTGGGTAGGTTTGGCTATATTAACATGTGATAGATAATATATTACGTGACAGAGCACAGAACCCCCAAATGATGTAGCGCGCTCTTGACATTGCGTATATGGGTGGCCAAGACATTGCATGACTGAATGGGAGAAAGAGTTTATAGATAAATTTCGAGGTCGAAGAGTGTTGTGCTTCTTTCCTAACGGGATTTCTTCGTTGTTCAGGGATAGTTTGTTGGTATGATGTTGCATGTGCCTTTGAATTTTGGAATTCTAATCGAACTTGTTATCATGGTTTAATGAGGTCCAGAGGGATTTGTCATTTTCTGTTGAGATTTTGTCAATATTTTCCGGGAATATGTTGTTTATAATTGAAGAAGGTAGGTGAAAAAATGTTTCCTTGTAGGTTCCATTATCTGGTGGGTATGGGTCTGAAAGAGTGATGCGCGATTTGACTTTATCGAAAGTTCCACGTTAAGATGCATGATCATTAAAAACAGAGTGTAAAATCGAATAGTATCTACACCAGAAAAAAAAGTACATTGCATCTCCCATCATACACGACATGACGGAACAATACTTAACATAATTGACTAACTGGCAGGTAGGTGTCTTTCAGGACCTCTTTGACACATTAATAATTTTGATCACAACCAAGTGGTATATATAGTTATCCCATATGTCCTCTAACAAACATATGTCATCTGTTCACACCCGTATCAGTACCATGTGCAGAATGCACTATTACAGCACACTAACCGAACTACTAGCATTGTCTCAACCGTCACATCCAGGTTCCGAGGACGCTTCAGCAAATCCTAAACACAATAGTGTCGACTTGGGGTATTGTTAGAGACAAATATAAGAATACATATCACAGGTAAAAGACAATTGTTATTATGTACTGTTGATTAGAATAAACAAAGCTTTGTTTGGTATAGAACGAGATATGAACCTCGGTGTTGTTTACATAGCTCCAGGAGGTTCTAAATATGCTGACAAATTCTGCGGAATTAAACAGTCAGTTATGAAATACCTACCAAATAACCCTTATGTTACCCTGCGTGGTTACATTGATTCAAGAACTAGTAATATATGAGATAACAAGATACCAGTGTTAAAGATTATATTATTGCGTCTCCAAAATGTCTATCCCTATTTGCTGACCTTGAAGTCTTGGAAGTCTCACCTTTATATTAAGGTGTACATTGCCCCGTCGCCTTTTCCTTGAAATCAGTAGAAAATTCTGCTACAGCCAAACGAAGTCAATGTTTTACACCAGATTACCATCATTGTCCAAATCCCCCAAAGTATGATGAATCCAAGTTTGTATCATTCATTCATAACATTGACACTGAACAAGTAAACGACATCATCTTACAGTCAGTTCGCCGACAGCCTCTCGTACGTGGTTACCTACGCGGCACATGAAAGTTTCGGGCCGAAAAACGCTATCGAAGAAAAATAAACCTTGGTTCGGACATGAATGTAAACAATTCACAAGGCAATTAAATAGAGCGAAAAATAGACTTAAAATATCCAATACCGCTCATGATTGATCAGTTATTTACTAGAATTCTAGAAAAAAGGCTCACTAATTTTTTCGACGTCCATACAGCCAGGATTTCGTAAACATTTTATGGCGGCGGATAAAAAAAACTCGTTCTTCTTTGGCTCATGCATTACCTAAAAATTTCAAAGAAAAAAACTGTATTGTGCATTTATTGATTTTTCAAAAACTTTTGACACTGTTGGGGACTTTCGATTGAAGACTTTCGATTGTGCTACCTTAGACTCTGAAATTAACTATAACGAATACAATTGTTTAAATGTTATAAAACATATTTTACAAAATGTTGGTCAAAGATATGTTTTAAAAATCCAGTCAGAATACACCACCCCATGGTTAGTCTCAAATGTTGAAAGAATTCTAAAAGACCAGTTCATTCAAAATCGGAGGCAGAATATTTCATCAAAACCGAAGGGCCATTTTTATCATTCTCTTAAAGCAATTCCAAAGTTTGAAACTTATCTTTTTCTTTCTAAAACTATATCTGTTCCGGTTTTAAAATTCAGAACGTCAAATCATAATCTTCCGATTGAAACTGACCACTGGAATGGAGTACCCAGAGAAGAAAGAATTCGTCCATTATGCAATTCTCCTGTAATTGCAGAGAAGACTTATTTTATGTTTAAATGTGACGTTTTCTTACGCAAGATCGATCTCAACTCATTCCTAAAACATATGTGCAATGGCCCAATCCACAAGAAAATGGTGAAATTAATCAACTTAAGAAGAACTAACATATTGCGCAACCTCGCAAAATTATGTCATAACGATTGAAAATCTTATTCTTTTTAAAAAACGTTACACCCATTTCTATGCAATATCCGTATTTCTTGATATATTTTCCAAGTCTTTTGGGGCTAACTTTATGAATCAATGTAAATTCCCTCCATCTCTATCTCGTAACTCATTATATTTATTGTTGTAAACTTTTCTATTCAGCGAGAATAAACTGTCTATGACACAACCAAAAATACACACATTTGTGATTAAATATAAGCTATCTTGATGACAAATATTTTTGGAAGTTTTATATACTGAAATTATACATATGGTGATTTTTTAGATGTCTATATATATATATATATATATATATATATATATATATATATATATATATATATATATATATATATATGTGTGTGTGTGTGTTAGTGGCATGGACCTTATTTACAACCCGTTTCCTCCGCGTTAATCAACTATGTGGAACCCGTTAACCACGCATATGATACTCTTGGGCAACCCGTCACTTCCTCATTTCAAACAAAATTTATTGAGTTAAACGTGTAATTATTCAATAAATGAACACTGTTTGGTGAACAAGCTGTTATATCGCATATCAACTCAGCTCCCATATAACACATGACACAAACTGTAAGTCAGAACATGTAAACAAGTAAACAAGTAAACAATTGCTGTTAAACAGAAGCGCATAATTGATGCGATGTATATTTGTATTTTTATGAGAATCTATAAGATGAAAACGTGTATAAAGAATTGGTCAGATACAATTTGGTGTTCCTGAATGGTTTAACATATGCAGATTAATCAGAAATAAATTTTCCTGTATAAAATTCAAGTCACATTGGTATTTTGATTTTGTGATTAAATTGTGGATTGACTTAATAATGTTCATATTTTCAGAAGTAGACAAAACAATTGTTTTCTGTTCATAAGTATTTCCAGCTTATGGCCATGGGAATAGAAATACATGTTACTTTCTATGTTTGTAAACATGACACACGTGAAGAAATAGTGTAAAAGGCGTTCTGTGTGATATCTGCGGGACTTCTGACAGTGCCTTCTATCTCTTAGTAGCTTCGTTTTGGTTTCGCTAGAAAGTTTATCGTGACTTGTACCACGAACTGCACCACAGTTGAAACTTACTTTGACCAAAGCTGAACTCGGATGTGGTAACAAGGGCAGATCATGTTTATTTCAGGAAGAAATATGTTAAAACATATTATGATACGTACTTGACCTTTTTTCGATATGGCCATGTAGGAAATTATGATTTTTGTTGTAATCAATCTATCTTATTTATATGGCCATCTGTTTATGGTCTGGTACACAGAAGGCAAATGCCGCTAATAAACCCAGTAATTCAAAGGTCATAATTTCCTTTAAGCTTGCCATAAATTTGATATTTAGGTAAAATGCCAACAACTGATGAATGGTACAGGACCCACATTGACATGTAAAATAAAGCGCTTTAATGACATCCTACAAATTAGAAACGAAAACTGAAATGAAATGGCGCAATTTTCACTTTTGAAATGCACATTTGCATCATGACATTCAACCCGATATTGGCGCTGTTGGCTCTTTATATTCGTATTAGACACGCCAGATAATGCATAAATATAATACGATAATGACGCAAGTGTATTCGATTCATTACAGAGTGTACCTATTGCGATGGTGACTACCGTGGACAGAGAAAAGGGCACTTCATATCACTGAAGAGCCTTTCACGTTCAGGTAAATAAACATTATCTCATACTGACACACAGATTCCGTATGCTCTAACTTTAATGAAGTCATTTATTATGGTCGAAATAGTATGGAAATATCTGGCATCGAAATGAGCATACTTACTTTAAAATGTTGATAGAAGAACTGTTTTCATCGTTACATTTGAGACGCTAATAAAATTCAATATAATATATTGTTTGATATTGCTTTCCTTATAATTATGTTAATAGTCAACTGTCCGCATTAGATATTGTGGTTAACTTTATGGTCTGTTCGTAAATAGTAGTCAAAAATAGTCTTTAAAGGGCAAGTAAATCAATAACAATTTTTCTTGTTACATGTGGTTAATTTTAGTGATAAACCATCAAACTAATATATTTTGGGGCATGCCCTAAAGGTACTAGGGCAGCGGTGCAAGGAAAATCCTTTCATGCGATCCTTCACAGCTATACATATACAATAGTACATGTGTACTGGTTCTACAGTGTCTGTTACGCCCTAAAAAACTAAAATAATTGTACACATTGATGTTTGCCTGAAACGTCACCTTTCGTCGTATGTTGTGAGTAACTGAAATGACGATTAACAACTTGTAAATAGCTTCTATGCTGCTTTGGAACAACGATTGTCTAGGGTAAAATCTCCATCGTGTTTGTTTATAGATGATGTGGTCATGTCAAATACTATGGGGACCAGGGTGTCCTTGAAACATATAGATATAGATTTGCAACATAAAAATAGAAAGATTCTGTAACAGAACACTTTTTTCGTGTCTTCCAGCCAAAAGTAAAACAGCACTGCGATAACGGTTCGCTTGTTTCTGTTTTGCCAAAGTTGTCCCTTATCCACCTTAAAGACATGGTTTCTCTTGCATAAAGTGGTTTCTCAAGCACGAAGTACAATAACAAGTTCATTAGCGTACTCAGTCTGCAGCAACTCAATGAATTTGATTTAAAGTTTGATTTAACACCTTCGGCGATCCTTTTTTGGTCGACCTACTGGTCAGTGGCATACAATTATGATTGTCATAAAGTCATGTCGTCTGGTCATCTTCTTTCGCAAATTTCCAACAAGCAAAGGTTTGACGTTTGGTATTAATCATGAACATAATACACCTGTCGGCCCTACGAATGAGGATAACCTTAGTCAATGGCTCAATGGAAGACTCTTTCTCTACGGATATGTTTGGTATAGCCCAAATCATACAAAAAAGATTCACTTATTGCAACGTTTTATGCTTGAAGTGAAAACCACTATTTAGTCTTTAAATTTTGGGGAAATTCACCAGTTAGTAGTGTATGGGAAATTCCTCCGGAGGCACGATTTTGTAGTTTTGGGGACGATGAGCAAGTCGTTATTTTATCGACTGTTTCATGAACAGAATTTTCAAGCCATTGTGATTCAGTATGCCGTAACGAATTCAAAGCTACAAAGTGGCCTTTTTGAGTATTATTGCCTTTAAGGTTGCTAATTCATTTTGTATTGCTTTTGACAACTATATGTCTTCAGTGAGAGCACGGTCAGCCATGCATATGTTCATCTGTAACAAACTTTGTCAGTTTTACGATATGAATAATGTATCTGGCAATTAGCGTCACTTCGATTATGTGATGTGTTAATATATCCGCGGTCATATTAATAGTTGATGCTGTCCGTTTCATTTACAACTAGGGCGGTTGGGTAGCCTAGTGGTTAAACGCTGAAGACCCGGATGTGATACCCACATGGGTACAATGTGTGAAACGCATTTCTGGTGTCCGAGCCTTTATATTGCTGGAATATTGCTCAAAGCGGCGTTATGCCATATTCAATCGACCCAACAATATTATATAGAACTTGGACTATTATTCCACCGTGCGTGACATTATATGAGCTTGAAACAAAGATCAAAATACTCCTTTTATGGATACGTGTATTTGTGTCACTTGCGTTCTCGTACTAGCAGATAAAACTGACTATTGCAGCTCTCCGTCTCCACCCACTGCCGACCCCTGCAGTAAAGTTGTGTAAGTATTTTACTACATCCTAACTTTTTGACCCTTGCTATCATAATATTTAGTCACATGTCAGATTTTAGTCATAAACGGCTTCATGTACTTCATATTTACCTGGGTGAAGTCAACATCGATTCATCTAAAACAGTAAGTGCTAACCGTGGCAAGATAAACGTGTGTACCCATAATAATATTCTGTGTGGGGTAACTGTAATGATATCACACATTGACCTAATTGGTTAAAAAACATGTTCATTGTTTCAGATGACTGTACAACATGCTTACGGGTTTTGGGGGATGCAAATTATCACATGGGAACAGAGGATAATGTATTCTTCATTCACCTACACAGGAGACAGGTTGACATCATAAAACGGGGAATGAAACCATCTGCGGAGTATCAATTCAAAAAGGCTTTATCTTCACTGAGAAACTCAGGTCGGGGTGCTCTGTTTGTGCATGCTTGCCAAGATATATTCAGATCAGTTACGAATGTATTCCAATCTACTGTTGTGCCAGTATTGGACACAATGTTAACTGACGACGAGACAATGTCAGACGGCTTCAGCTGGCATCCTGTAGAGAATGAAGGAGGGCGAGTGCACAAAATAGATGTCTTGCCATCCGACACGTTCATTACTGTCGACTTGAAAACAAAGCTGCTTTGTTGGTGCCGAGATAAACACTTATCGGCATCATTTGAGAAAATAAGGCCACTTCTGTTTTCTAAACGCAATGTATCAACGACAGAGCCCACTGTGCAAAGATTGACTCATATGAACCATGTTGATGCTGTGAAGATCTATGTTGACAGAATTGACAAGCATGTCCTCCTGTCACGGGATGCACCTTACCGTTCAGTAAGCGCATGGGTCAATCATATCATCAATGATTGTTCTTTGCCGGAATATGTCACATCCATATCAAAGAGAAAGCAGGGTGGGTCTGTATATGTTGGTCGGACAAGTACAGACAGCAAAGTTGATATGGATGGAATACCGTTTCCCAAGCAAGGGAGGAAAGATGAAATGCAGAGCATGCTTGCAGAAGAACTGCAGAAAGAAATATTTGTTTTCAAGAACAGATATTCAGATATCGTACTAAACCCCAAAGATGTGTTTCAGATTGAAATCCATGACACTGGAACAAACACCGGCATCATTGAGGTCGCGGTGAGACCTGTTGATGGATGTGTGTTCACTGATGCTTTAGGTCCAGTGTCCTTCAGAATTGAAAACAAATCCATGGGCGAAAACCACTATAAAACATGTGTCAGGTTGCCCTTTGATGAGTGGGTGGAAATGGCCTCAGGCTGAGATATACTATTGTCATTTATACCAATGATCTTTAAGGGTGATTTAAGATGGACTGAGTCCGTCACATTGAAGCATGTTAAAGTTTGTCACTCTGAGTGAAATATAGACAAGTATCTGACCTTGTGTATTGAGAGGAAGCAACTTGAGATCTCCATTATTAATAAAAGTTGAAGTAACATGAACACTGAATCAATCTTACTGACGCCTTACCCTATCATAGACGTCCTTTCCGAGACTGACACTGCAGTAGATACCACAAAGGACATCATCTGTACAATGACTTGTTGATATTTACCTGTACTCCATGAACTTATTGGAGCATACATACTTGAGCCTTCCATCTGCCATATATACAGTTGGTGATATGTCCCAGAAGTGTAACTGCATGTACATGTGTGAATGCATAAGTTGCTGTCGTCACCAATACATGGATGAGATACCGTAGATGCAACATGAACATTTAGTTATAATATGTCAACAAACTATTTCATTTCATATCCTAGCTCTAACCCACATGGGTACAATGAGTGAAGCCCATTTCTGGTGCCCCCCGCCATGATATTGCTGGAATATTGCTAAAACCGACGTCAGTCTGTAAGTCCTAGCTCTCACCAATATATAATGTCTCATAGTGACACATAACCTTTGTTTTGCATAGTGTAGGTCGTGTATTGAGACCCAGCAGCTTTGGCAATTTTTGGCAATATATATGTTTCTCGTTCATTACAAGTTGTGTCGGAACACTGAAGCAAGTGACACGAGCAAGTACAGTGAATTGTAAATACGGACATATATTGCATGATATCATTTATTGTAGCCTATCTAGATGTGTATTCCATTGATCACATGTATTTAGATGGTCATATTGTCCTTGACGTCAGCTGTGAATCTGTGATTGTGTAACCTGTTGTCATCGATGAGAAACTTCTCTTATATTACTTAAATTGTAAACATTTTTAAATAATGTGGTTTGTGTCTGCTATAAAACATTGCATACTTGTTTTTATATGTTTCACATGAAATAGCAGACCTTTTTAGATTTAGTAGAACTTGACAACTGATGATATCGGTGGCTATTGTCTTGAAGTGGACTAAAGTAGTGTAAAATGTCTGTGTCATCAATACGATACACGAGACCACTTCTTTCAAAGTATATTCTTTTTTATATAACAAGAGTTCTGAATGTCCTCATAGAGCATGGTCAACTTGCGATATTTTGCCTGTTTGTATATTCCGTTGCCATTTTGTATCTGGGTGGTGATATATTTGTATGCTTCAATATTGGCTGTAATACAATTTGTAGTTTATGTAATCATATTTGCGTCCTTATCATATTCCCTTTTTAATCTAGAGGTGTTTTTATTGCAGCATGGTCTGTTGTTTTATTATTATTTAGTTTCACTGTTTTTCTAGACAATCTGGAGGTGATTTGTTTTCTTGGTTTTGGCTTGTTCTCTCTATATTGCTGATTTAATCTTATACATGTATTTTGATTCATCCAACTCTTATCTCTCTAAAGTATATCAATGCATTTGTCAAAACTGTGAGTTATCACGTAGCTTTTGGAATGTCAATAAAATTTCAAAACCCCATGCAGTTCTGATTTCTCGTGTATTGTTTTATACTAGCAACGTATACATTTACTGTAGTAATTCTCACGTACAGTGAATCATATCTACTGTCATTCTCTTATTTCAGTCAGCTAAAATTTGTTTGAAAACTACAGCGTTGGTTTACTATCGAATTGTTGAAAAGAATGTTAGCAACAAATGCATTCTAGAGTGACAAGGAATCTTTGGAATTATACTATAACATGATCATGTCTTCCTGAATCAATATCTAAAGGTAATGATGTAATCGTAACCTGTTTTAGTGGTGGTAAAGCAGACAAGGATATATAACACAGGCAGTGAGGCAGTAGCCGTAATGAGTGAGTAAAGTTAAACGCCGCACTCAGCAATTTTCCAACTACAAGGCGGCGATCTGGAAATAATCGAGTCTGGACCAGACAATCCAGTGATCAACAGCATGAGCATCGATCTGCGTAATTGGGAACCGATGACATATGTCACCCAAGTCAGCCAGCCTGACCACCCGATCCCGTTAGTCGCCTCACGACAAGCATGGGTTACTGAAGTACAATATTCTAGACCTTCACGGGTAAGTACCCGAAATGAGGGAGGAAATTGTGTTTCGTTCTTTTAACAATATTCCTGTTGTGCAATGATTGATTGATTGTTATTTCACGCCGCACTCAGCAATATTCCAGCTATATGGTGGCGGTCTGTAATAATCGAATCTGGACCAGACAATCCAGTGATTGACTACCCGATCCCGTTAGTTGCGCTTTTCTACCTGAGGAAGATTTGGTTGGTTGATGCTAATCGAATCAATGGAATGTATTTCTGGAACAAGAGCGAACGGTTTCGTAAGGCACATCTTTATATCATCTCAAAATAATCTAGTACAAAGGAAGATGATGTATTAAAACATCATTGAAATCCTGGACATATACCTGAACAATTGGTTGGAATACACATGACACATTTTTCAAGTATAACGAAGGAGGGGGAGACAGCCCTTTGAAGCTGCATTTATTATACAATTCATATATCACACAGTTATAAATAGAAAAATCTAGCAGTTCTGCTTTTATAACCTTATCATCTGTTATAACACACATTGACGTGTATCTATCAGATCTTTCGGATGCCTTGAAAATAACTTTTTCGATCTACCCATGTGCTTTACGTGTTTAACAGCAAGTGCACCCTGAGTTTGTAGTGGTAAAGGTTATAGTTTGTGGCAAGGAAACTGTGGATAACAGTATTGTAAAGACAAATATGTTTATGCTAATTTATCCAAACAAGAGAAACTCCATCTTTTTTTTCAGTTTACCTCTTTGTGTTTTATCCGACTTAAAAGAAGAAGCTGGTTATGTTTTATGTTTGTATTCAGTTACGAGCAGTAGTAGTGTGTGATATGAAACACATGGACCTTCATTTTACCACACAGTGAAACTAAGTCGTTACAAGCCATCACTGAGTGAAAAAGGATGTATATTCAACCAAGACTATTTACGTGGAAAGTACGTCTGAAAACTTTGGAATTGTATTTGCCTTCTCAAAGAAATGGCTGTTGTGAATACAGGAAATATTCTCCACGTTTTGAAGTTGTAATTTCCAACCACTATGTCAAAGAGTTTAAGGAAGGCAATACAATATTGATACAACATTATGCTTGATGACAAAAATACTTCAGCAATTGTAGTTTTGATGCATTGATATCCTACATACTCAGGTATATCAATACTTGCGACACTATTGTTCCTGACAGGTGAAAACAATCAAAATATACAGAAATAGCGGCAAGGCACACCCCACATGATAATTCACTCGGGAAAGAAAAACAATCGTTCATCGAAGCTTAACCCCTCAGTTTAAAAGGGTGGTGTTTTGAGCTCTCTTTGGGTTGAAGTACTCAACAGTGGAGCTGTGGCAGAAATACTCCCAGAAGAAGAATCTATATGTCTCCTTTCTGCATCCTGGTGTCTTGACTCATCATCCGTTACTGCTCGTATTGTCTCCACGTCGTCTTGGAACTCGGGATCATGAGGCACGAGCTGGCTTTCGAAGGACCAGGAGGTCGCCATCGGTTCGCCATATTTGAACGGTGCCCTGGCCACGAAATGGACGAGCGTTGAGATGCGGTGGATGATCATGGCCAGAAACTGTATCACCAGCAGGGTGCCGAATATCAGCAGGAAGCTCAGACCTGGAAATACAGTTAATACAAGGCAGGTATAGAAACAACACTATTTGAACAACACAGAGAATGCGGAGTTCGCCTCCTAACTATGAAACATCAATGCTAATCAATGTACAGTCTTCAATGAATTCTATTTGGTGTAAGTGCAAAATGACTGCGAAATTATGTGAATGAGCCATTGAAAACAATGATAACACTAGGTGTACGCAAGTGGTAGAATGACCAAAATACCCACTCACACGAGAGTGCGTTCGGTAATTTCAACAAGGGACATTATGCTAATTTGGAGACTTCCTCTAATCAGAGATTTTGCTTGGATGAAGGGTGTGTGGCTATGTTGTTGCGAGGCGTTTAGTAATATCCCAGCAATGTCACGGCCATGACACTGGAGTCGAACCAGGACATTCGACGTTACGACTCAAGCTTACCACTGGGCTACCCTATGTGAGTTAAAGAAATCTTTTCGTTCTGGGAAAGTATAATGTTTCGTCCCAAATACTCCGTTCATCACTATAACCAGTCATCGACCAAGTTCAGAATACAGAAATAAGTTACTATGCTGAAGAATAAAACAGTGATGTAAGTATGACAACATAGCATAGATTTCCGAAATTGCGAAAATATGACAATCTATATTTGGTGTCAGTAGTTCTGTATGGCAAAACACTGAAATGGTCAAGGTTGGTTGGTTGTTTAATGTAGCACTCAGCAATATTCCAGTTTTATGCCGGCGGTCAGTAAATAATCGAGTCTTGACCAGGCAAGCCAACAGCATGAGCATCGATCTACGCAATTGGGATACAATGACGAGTGGCAAGCTAGTCAGCAAGCCTGACCACCTGAACCTGTTAGTCGCCTCTTACGACAAGCATGGCTTGCTGAAGGCCAATTCTAACCTGGATCTTGACTGGTACCTAATTGGTTATTCCATATCAAGTAAGCATTCGATTCTGAACCTGACAACCCAGAGGTTGATAGTATGCGCCCTTCACGACCTGCCTTTAGATTTTCATCACATACTCCGGAATACGCACCTAATGAGTTCGCACCAAAGATTTTGAACTGGGTTTTAGCTGCCAAAGTGATGATGAGAATGAGCCACAATGAGTTGCTGACAGCCAGAACCATGAGCCACGAGTTCCTCAGCTCTCCTAGTCTACCTGCAGAAATCAAATTAGAACAAAGTGTAATATATCTGACAGAATGTATAAATGATCACAAATATATGGCACTTTTAGCTTACATACTTTGAGGTTCTTGAATTGAATCTAGAAGTGATTCAGATAAGAAGGTGGGTTTATGGATGTCAACTTCTTTACTGTGAGGAACACAATGTTTCGTAGCATATACTTACTCCTTACTCCATACCAGGTGAATCATGACGAGGAGTAAGGATATACTCCAAAAGAAGCTGACATTCATAAAACTGTCGGTAAGACCCCATGGTACCTAGTGTTGTGATCTACCTTCAGCTGTTAGCGACACATAGCCTGTTTTTATATTGTAATGTCATCAATAGTTACAATATTTTAGATTTATTACTAGTTTTAAATGTATTCCTGTGATAATCTAGTTGTTATATTGTCTCCAATAGTAAAGAGTTTTAGATTTTCATGCCAGTTATAAATACCATGTGTGACGCTCTAGCTATTTTACAGTCCTTTGATCACTCGAATTTTAACAACTTAAATGTAGTATATATGCAAAACGTATCTCGTCATTATATGGCTGAAATATTGCTGATGTGACGTTAAAATATGGTACGTGTTGGTCCCTGCCTGGCGCTCGGCATTAATGGGTACAACAAGGACTGGTCGGCTCGGAGTCAGTATAATGTGTCTGAGTGGGGTATTCATGCTTCCCTGCGGCATGGTATCTCAGTGGGCTAGCACTATAAAACCAGCTTAAGTCTGGGCTAGTACAAGCAACCGCACATACACATACACACGTATGCACGTCGTCATATGAGCGAAATATTCTCAAGCACGACGTTAAACCCAATTTCACCTCACCTCACCTATCATTAAATGTCTGTCGATCAAGAATAGTAATTCGGCTCTTCTTTGTCAAAGTTTAGGTATTAAAGGTCACATGCAACGTAAAACAAAACTTTGCAGATTCTGATACCTTTCGGTATGGACTTACCGAAACAAAGCGTCAAAAAATGCAAATTCAACTTATAAAGTTGAAAAATAACGCGATGAAAAACACGCGCGAAATTGGGGTTCAAACGTTTCACTAATTTTCCCCAGACTTTTTGGGGAATACGGGTTTCAACAGCTGGGCTGCGCTCATAGCACGTGCGCAGTGAAATAGGTTCGCGCAACTTGGAAACGGGCTGTCTGGTGAATTCTCGGTGAAGGCTTTGGTGTGAGCTATGTTCATAATGTTTTGTTGATATCTCACAAGCGCGAGCTTTTTGTATGTTATGACAGTAAATAAACTGTTTATATAATTTCATTTGTCTATTTCACCTCACGTTCTTCTTACCGAGTCACTTTCTCAGTTCGATACTTAAAAGCAATGTCATTATTTAGAGTTGACACAATTTCTAACTGTGATATAGATATGTCGCTGTCACAGACAAAACTCAATGTCTTGTTTTATTGACACCTGTGTGTCTGCCTGCCTGTCTGCTAATGACAATATTCACAACACAACTGTGATCACTGACCACATGCAATTTGAACTTAACACCAATCAGACTATACACCATAAACAAAACGCATTGATTTATGGCCCGAGTTCGGTCTCTGTCACATTATGTAATTACACAGACAGGCAGGTGTGATACATTACATGTTATGATGTCTGTTGATAGCAAAATGTTATACACAAAAAATGAGCATGTATTTACAAAACCCAACATCTCTCTATATATACACACACAATGAGCCGTGAAGGCGGCATCTGCTAATGAACCAGCCGTTACACTTGAGTGCACACCCACCCGCTCTGACTGGGTTCGGTATCCCGGCTGCTTCGTTTCGAGGGAGGTAAACCCAAGTACAAAATATTGCACTTTTGATTTGCGATTATACGCTTATGATTTTGTTTATTTGTTTTTTCATAATCAGCAATGCATATTATATGTCATGAAGAAGTGATAATTGTGTTTTAATAATGTTTGATTTTTTGGTTGCATGTGACCTTTAAAGAAACCAAATCAAAATACATTTAAAACAAAAACTTTACCAGTGTGTTATTTAGTATGAAATACAACTGGGCTATAGACCACCAGCAACTTCGCTGGTCATCAAAGTATTACGGCACTTCAGTTTGTTGCAGGATTCCCAGGATGTGCTCTGGTTGTATGCAGTTTTAACCGGTTTGGGAAAAAAAATATGCGCTCAACGATCTGGAGGAACACTAACTGAAGTTATATTTGGGGCAACACATTCTTAGTAAATAACAGATTCTAACCCTTTTGTTAGACTGAGTCCCATCCGGGATTCGAACCAACACGATAAGAATCAGGCACCTAATCGCCAGCTCACAAGTCTGAAGCCTAACACGCTCCACCACGGCGGCTAACCGAAGTTGTGTACTTCAATTTGGATGGTCACGCCTCTCTCATGGGTTAACAAAGTGTCGCAATATGTTTCTGTAGGAGTATGTAATTATGTATATATAAGCAAGTATATTTTAATTTGTATTTTAATCACTAAGTCTAGCCCTAGCTTAACCACTCAATCTAACCTGCTTCACTTTCACAATAGCACTCTCACCCTTGCGCTTACGTTGTCTATTGTATCTATTGTCTTGCCCCAGCCCCAGGCCCCTTAGTTTCAATAGCAGGGAGTTTTGTGGGTCAGCTATCATTTTCCCTTCAGTCTGTCTGGTCACTGGTCACAGCTAGCAACAGCTTATAACAGGTTAGTTTATATATGGATTGTGTATTTTATGTTTTCATGTTTAGTGTGTATGTATTATTTCTTAACTTCCTTTAAAGCATGTATCATGTTATATGTGGTAAATATTAATCAAATTAACTATCTGTTACATGCGCCAAACTTTGCATGAATGAATGAATGTATGTATGAGGGGAAGGCTTATTAGAACAGATATTTTATGTACAGTAGATTGATAATGTACAGAAGTAGAATGTTATATATTATTGGATTTGTATATGTTTATGTTCAGGTGTGGCAAACATAGTTCCAGACGTTTGTGGCGGTAACGGGCACAGTGCCATACACTCGGTGAGGGTTCCTTTGTATTATATTGTAAACAATCATGTTATGCACTTGTATGATGCCACATGTGTATCTTCAAATATAAACATTATATACAATTGTAGAACTTATTGCTAAGCCTCACATGTATTGTAGCGCATTTTGATGCAATGTATTTATTCCTTTATAGGGCCTTCTTCAGTTATTGCCAATAAACTGACATCTACGAAAAATATTCGCCTTTGTGGTATCTACAAAACCACTCCGGTTACATTGGCGTCGTCGGCAGGATGTAGATGTTCAGAAGGAACAGTGATGCAACCAGTGACAAGGGACAATGATGGACATCAACTTTCCATAGACGGAAGGGAACCGTAATGACCAAGTAATGTAACACTACGGTACACAACCAGACACTTTGTTACACATGAGTTTCGGCCTTGAGCTTACTACTTGGCTTGTAGATATTTGAGACTCTTGTATTGTGCAAGTGATATTGACTCTGATTGAAACGCATGTCACACTCTGTATATCCCATTGTGCGTTTTGTGAATGACATTTATATATATGAAGAGAAGAGGATACCTATGCTGTGAACAAGCTAACCAAAATTTATTTTGGATTATGTTCTTGTATGCAATGCAATAATTCAGAATTTGCCTGTTATGTATTTGCTTTCTGGGTGTTTTTTTTTTGCGCAGTGCACTTTGTTTATAGTGTTGATCATACCGGCCGGTCATTAGTCACATCATGTTAGTTTTGTCAGTATATAGTCATTAGTTAGATTATTTATTAGTCTTGTCAGTTGATAGTGTGTAATTAGGTTATTTGTTTGTTCTCTCAGTAGATCATCAGTAGACATATTGTCTATGTCAGTAGGTAGCTAGCAGTTAGGGCATAAACTAAACAGTCCCTGAGTTGGAGGCTCAGGCGGATCAGCCACATAACGTGTCAGAACTTTGCTGAATAGACGCGTCCTCAGGCACTTTATCTCCAGTGGTCGTGGGTTTTAATCCCTGTGTGTGCCACTGATGTTCCTATACTTGTAAGCAAGTTATGCTCGTGGTTTGCACAATGGTAAACGTCTGAGACCTGCCTCATTTGGGTTTCCCTCACACATCAAGCTGACATGCCGTGATATAACTGAAGTATTGTTTAAAGCGGCAGTACACCAAGCTCACCCAGTCCTGTAGTTAGTCATTACTAGTCAAATTAGCTTAGTTAGTTAATTAGTTAGTTTGAGATTAGCTATTTGTGATATTGTAAGTATTCTATTAGTACATCGCATTTAGTTGATGTTCAACATCTGTTTGTCGGGATGATACATTTGTTTTGTGCGAATGATGTATGCCTGATTAGCACCTACTTATCACTCAAATACCTTGAATAAACATTTAAAGCATAATGTAGTTCCACAATAAAGTACTTAAATCAGTTTATATTCAATCCATAAACCGGTAAGTATTTTATGGTGTTTGTTGGTCATATAACTCAGTTGGTCATAAAGTGTGTGTTTTTTGTCTCTTCTGGGTTTATTTCTTGGTCCCTCATCTTGAATATATTGTCCTTTTCTTCCTTTTGTGTGTGTTTATCTGCAGCGGTCGCAAAGCTTACACCTGCACATCATGACTAACCACTGCACCAGTATAGCATATTCAGTACCATGTTGAAGGTTAGGTTTTCATTCTCGGTAGGGCATCACTTTGAACATTTTGCTGCGCTGTGGTGATCCACCACATTCATATTTCTTCTGTGCTAACTGTGCCATACTTTACAGTTAGTGTTGTTTCCCCTCCCCAACATTTTGCTCATTGCTCGCTGTTAGTACCACTAACAGACATGTCGGAACATATGTCAGAAGAGGAAGTTGCTCAACTTGTTGCAACATTCAAGCAGCTTAATGTAAAACCTAAGGCTGATTCCCCAGAAAGTTTGTTAAAATGGATGGCTGATTATTCAGCTGTCTCTGTGAAAACAGAAGGTGTTTCACATGACTCTGAACCTCAGTATCCTGGTCCCCCATCAGCAGCTCAGGTGGTTACTGTATCTCACCCTCCAAGTTTACCTTGCTTTTCCGGAGATGAAACTAAAAGTAACGTGTCTTATGACCTATGGAGATATGAAGTGGATTGCATATTGAAGGATAAAGCACATTCAAGGGCGACAATCGAACATTCGATCAGGAAGTCTTTGAGAGGGGAGGCAGCAAGGGTTGCCATGCGATTAGGTTCCACCGCTTCTCTTTTTGCTCTCTTGGATAAACTGAAGTGTGTTTTTGACACAAGTGATAGTCCCGTAAACGTACTGGCGGCCTTCTACACAGCACGACAGCGGGAAGATGAGAATGTCAACACTTGGTGTTGTCGTCTAGAAGATTTATTGAGTAAAGCGGTAGAAGCTGGTGAGGTTAGCTCTCTAGACACCAACAAGCTCCTTCATTCCATGCTTTGGACAGGACTTAAGCCATCAATCAAAGATGTCAGCGGACACAAGTTTGATCTGTTTTCGGATTTTGACGTTTTGCGACGAGAACTTCGACAGATTGAGCGCGAGCACACTCAACGTAGAGGGGAAGGTAGAACTAAAGGGAAACTGTCTGCCACAAGTATGTCTGCTGTTTCTGAAACACCCACTCTAACAGAGATGAAGGAACTTCGAGGAATGATCAAGAGCCTTACTTCTGAGGTCGCATCTCTGAAGAAACAACAGCAGCAGCCTCCTCTGTATCACTATCAACATCCTACCGGAGAACAAGATAACATTACCTCCAGGACTTATAATCAAATTGACATGGGCAACACTGGATATTATTCTCAACCTTCTTTCCAGAAACATCAGTATGATCATCTATCATACAGAGGAAGATCTAGAGGACAACCTTTTGAGAGAGATGTGCAGTGTTTTCGTTGTGGGCAGTTTGGGCATATAGCCTCAGGATGTAGAGTCAGGATGGATCACAGTCGTCAGCATTTAAACGGGAGACGGCCTATGCGAAGGGGTGGTCCATAGGTCTCAACAGACGACAGATGGGTACTCAGAGATATGAAACAACAGCACTTGTAGGAAATGCCAATGAAGTTGATGTCTGTATTCAAGGAATCAAGACAAGGTCTTTATTGGACACAGGAGCTACAGTCTCTACAGTGAGTCAGGCATTTTATGATCAGTATCTCTCAGGTATTCCTATCACCCCAATCACAAATGTCTTGGATATTGAGTGTGCAGATGGACAGCCCCTGCCATACTCAGGTTACATTCAGGTGGACCTAGAGGTTAATGGGATTGATGCTGAACGCCAGCCATGTCTTCTGCTTGTTGTTCCTACAAGCAACTATAATCACAAGGTACCGGTTTTTGCTTGGAACCAATATGTTATCGGTTTACTTAGGAACCTGTAGACAACAACATGGGGAGAAGTTTCTGCAAGATGCCAACCTGTATACACCTTGGTATTTAGCTTTTAGGTGTATGGTACTGCAGGAACGGGATCTTGTTCGACGAGAATTTAAGCTCGGACTAGTCAAGTGTGCAGGAGTGAAGAAGGTTGTCATCCCACCCAATTCAGAAGTCACTATCGCTGGCTACATTGACAAGGCACTTCCTTACCGCAATACATGTGCTATATTGCAAAGTACTAGCCGTTCAGCTATTCCTGATGATCTTGACATCTCACCCAGCTTGATAACATACAGAGAGAGAGGATTTGTAGATGTCAACATTTCAAACATTACCACAAGAACAGTAGTCATTCAACCCCGTGCCCTTTTGTGTGAGATACAGCCTGTTGTTGTTGAAGAACAGCCTTCTATGACAGATGTGTCACAGGACAGGGATTCACTCTTTAAAAGGATGGATATAGAAACTTCACAGATCTCAGGCACTCAATGCGAAGAGGGATTAAGGGTTATCTCGGACTACTTGGACATATTCTCTCATGGTGATCTTGACCTTGGACACACTAGTGCAGTGAAACACCGGATAGATCTCATAGATGAACGACCCTTTAAACAGCGACATAGGAGAATTCCGCCATCTATGCATGCTGAAGTAAGAGATCATCTGCACCAACTATTAGCAAGTGGAGTCATCCGTCGATCACGATCACCTTGGTCTTCCAATGTGGTATTAGTACGCAAGAGAAATGGGACTCTAAGGATGTGCATTGATTTTAGACAGCTAAATCAGAGGACTATTAAGGATTCCTACGCTCTCCCTAGGATTGAGGAGATGTTTGATACACTTAGAGGATCAAAATTCTACTCCACAATGGACATGAAGAGCGGATACCACCATGTTGACTTAGAAGAACATCACAAGGAGAGAACTGCTTTCTCCGTAGGACCCCTCGGATTCTTTGAATTCAACCGGATGCCCTTTGGTTTGTGCAACAGTCCCGCCACTTATCAACGCCTCATGAATGACTGTTTTGAAGATATGCACTTAAAGATATGCCTTATCTACATGGATGACGTCATTGTCTTTGCGGATACCTTTGAAGAACATCTGGACAGGCTAAAGAAGGTGTTTAAGAGGCTCCGAGATTGCGGATTCAAGCTTGCTCCAGATAAGTGCAGCTTCTTCAAAGACAAGATCAAGTTCTTAGGACATATTGTATCAGGACAAGGCATTGAACCAGATCCGGCTAAAGTTGAAAAGATAAAGACATGGCCCCAACCAAAGAATCCAGCAGAGGTTAGACAGTTTCTTGGATTTGCAGGGTATTACCGGAGATTTGTGAAGAACTTTGCTGCAATCACCAAGCCCCTGTCAAGTCTTATGCCTCCACCAACACAGACAAAGAGAACACGGAAGAAAGTTGCCCAACAGCCGTGGATATGGGGATCTGAGCAAGAGAAGGCATTCCATCACTTAAAACAGCTTCTGGTTTCGCCTCCTATTCTAGCCTACGCAGACTACAGCCTACCATTTGAGCTCCATACAGATGCTAGTACACATGGACTGGGCGCTGTCCTCTATCAAGAGCAGGATGGAAAGAAGCGAGCTATTGCATATGCCAGTAGAGGACTAAACAAAGCTGAGAAGAACTACTCTGCACATCGTCTTAAGTTCCTGGCTTTGAAGTGGGCAATTACTGAAAAGTTCAACCATTACCTCTATGGTACCAAGTTCAGAGTTTATACAGATAACAACCCGTTGACCTATATTCTAACCTCAGCTAAACTTGACGCAACAGGACATAGATGGTTAGCATCCTTGGCAGCCTATGATTTTGACATCAAGTACCGGCCTGGAATCAACAATGCAGATGCAGATGGTATGTCACGTCTACCAGACCTAGAGACAAGTGGAGGACATGAGCATATGCCAGGCGACTCTGTAAAGGCTGTGTGCAACATCATTCATACCCAACCTTATGTTGAGAGTTTATGTTTGCAGGCTGACGTTACTCTGGAAGAGAACTTAGACACTATTGGTGTCCCTTTAGCCAGGATGTCAAAACGGGACTGGAGAAAGGCAATGGACAAGATGTTTACAATCCAACAACAAACCAAGGAGACAGGATTTCTGTGATTCCCCTACACATTCAGCATTGCTCAAGATCTCTAAGAATCTTCATCTTGAACAGGGAATTTTGTACAGAGAAGTGTCAATTAACGGACAAACTAGACAGCAGTTAGTTTTACCAGCTGAGTACATCAAAGATGCATTAGAAGGCCTTCATGACAATATGGGTCATCCAGGACGAGACCGAACTTTGTCTCTCTTGAGAGACAGATTCTTCTGGCCAGGCATGTCTAAAGATGTTGATGAATGGATTACAAATTGCAGGAGATGCATCTGCCGGAAGACTCCAACCAACCAGAGAGCTCCAATCATAGGAATTGAAACAACTCAGCCACTAGAGTTAGTATCCATGGATTTCTTGGACCTTGAACCATGCAAAGGAGGGAAACACTGTGTGTTAGTTGTCACGGATCATTTCACCAGATATGCACAGGCATATGTCACCAACAACATGACAGCTACAGCCACAGCAAAAGCTTTCTTTGACAACTTCATCGTGCATTATGGGATTGCACAGCGCATACACTCTGATCAAGGTGCCAACTTCGATGGAAATCTTATAAAGGAATTGTGTTTATTAACCGGCATGAAGAAATCCAGAATAACACCATATCATCCCATGGGTAACGGCATGTGCGAGAGGTTTAATCGCACATTATGTGATATGTTAGGAACTTTGTCCCCTGACAAGAAAAGCGATTGGAAATCTCACATTGGGCCTCTCGTACATGCTTATAATTGCACACGGCATGATTCAACTGGACAGTCACCGTTCTTCTTAATGTTTGGTAGAGAACCACGTCTCCCTCTCGATCTTGCCTTTGGATTAGAACTTGGAATGACACAGACGTCACTCACTGAGTATACCAGATCACTCAGAAAACGATTGAAGGACTCATATGAACTAGCTTTGGCTTCAGCTAAAACATCTCGTGACAGGCAGAAGAAAGGATATGACATACGGGTGAGGGGAGCCGCACTGCAGACTGGAGATCGCGTACTAGTAAAGAAATTGGCATTTGATGGTAAACATAAGCTTTCGGACAAGTGGGAGGAGGATCCTTACATTATTCTGTCCCAGCCTAATCAAGATGTTCCCGTCTTTGTAGTGCAGAAAGAGAATGGTGAAGGTCGACAGAAGACTTTGCATAGGAATCTCCTTTTGCCAATCGGCACTCTTCATGGCTTTGATAACGCTGAGTCATCACCTGAAGCAGAGTCTCCAACATCCAGACCCAAACCCGTACCAAGGCCAAGACGATCTAGACCACAACCAAAGTCAGATAATGTACTACCAGTTGATGACACCAACCAGGAAGACATCATTGTAGAGATCCACAAAAATAGAGGTGCTGCAGCTTCTGGTATTCCTACAGATACCAAACAGGATGTTTCTGCAGATACGGATACTGCTACTCAGGCGAGTGGTGACGATCATGAGGCTGAGGTAGCAGCGGAACATATCTCTGGTGACGACGGTCACATCCCAGGAGAGGGAGAAACAGAGGTGAATCCTTTTGATGCTGAAGTGGATGAAGACGCTGGTGTTAATACTCCAGATCTACACAGAGATGATGTCATTCCTGAGAATGAAGAAGCAGGAGCAAATGATGATGTTCTGGACTGCGTGTCTTCACCTGAAGCAGTTGAAGAAATGGACACTGCAGATGACTCTGCTCCAGATGCTAATGGATTCGATGTTGTTCCACGAAGGTCAACACGTGCTAGGCAACCCCCCTAGTTGGGTGCGTTCAGGACAGTATGCACTTAGCCATATCACAGCAGAACCAGATTGGATGGCTAGGGTTCGGTACCTAGAGCATTTAACCAATGCTGGAACATTAGAAGAGACTGCACCGGACATCACGAAAAGCTTTTCTAAACATTCTCACTCGCCAGAACACAGAATGACAGAGATGTCATTTTCCTGGGGAGGGAAGAATGTAGGAGTATGTAATTATGTATATATAAGCAAGTATATTTTAATTTGTATTTTAATCACTAAGTCTAGCCCTAGCTTAACCACTCAATCTAACCTGCTTCACTTTCACAATAGCACTCTCACCCTTGCGCTTACGTTGTCTATTGTATCTATTGTCTTGCCCCAGCCCCAGGCCCCTTAGTTTCAATAGCAGGGAGTTTTGTGGGTCAGCTATCATTTTCCCTTCAGTCTGTCTGGTCACTGGTCACAGCTAGCAACAGCTTATAACAGGTTAGTTTATATATGGATTGTGTATTTTATGTTTTCATGTTTAGTGTGTATGTATTATTTCTTAACTTCCTTTAAAGCATGTATCATGTTATATGTGGTAAATATTAATCAAATTAACTATCTGTTACATGCGCCAAACTTTGCATGAATGAATGAATGTATGTATGAGGGAAGGCTTATTAGAACAGATATTTTATGTACAGTAGATTGATAATGTACAGAAGTAGAATGTTATATATTATTGGATTTGTATATGTTTATGTTCAGGTGTGGCAAACATAGTTCCAGACGTTTGTGGCGGTAACGGGCACAGTGCCATACACTCGGTGAGGGTTCCTTTGTATTATATTGTAAACAATCATGTTATGCACTTGTATGATGCCACATGTGTATCTTCAAATATAAACATTATATACAATTGTAGAACTTATTGCTAAGCCTCACATGTATTGTAGCGCATTTTGATGCAATGTATTTATTCCTTTATAGGGCCTTCTTCAGTTATTGCCAATAAACTGACATCTACGAAAAATATTCGCCTTTGTGGTATCTACAAAACCACTCCGGTTACATTTCAAACTCCTGAAACCCGACAACATGTATCGTAACCATGGGGGAATCCTCTATGCACTCTTGCACCAACATCCCCCAGACTCTGGATCTAGTCAAACCAGTGATATATATTTGTAAGATCACGATGACAAACAATAGATGAAATTACCGAGCCTGGCCATTTGACTTGCGTGCATTGAGCAATACAACAGCTACATGCCAGCGGCGTGTAAATAATCTCGGTCTGAACCAGACAATCACGTGATTGACATTATACGTATCGATCTACGCATTTGCTCTACAATGATATGTATGAACCTGAAGAGGCAAATGATACTGAAGCACGATAGCGATGCTGACCTGTATCAGCCCGGAGAGTCCAGGAGCCACGCCCCAGGCGAATGACAAACCATGTTAAGAGCAAAACAGATGAATCACCTTCAATACAAATAACATAATCATAATTATTATATAAGATTGGTTTGATTTGTTTGTTACTTTACGCCCCACTCAGCAATGCTCCAGCTATAAGGCGGCAGGCAGTAAATGGTCCAGTCTGGATCAGACAATCCAGTGATCAACAGCATGAGCATTGATCTACGGAACTGGGATTCGATGACCTGCATCAACTACATCAGTGATTCTGACCACCCGTTAATCGCCTCTTACGACAAGCATTGGTTGCTGACGACCAGTTCCAGCCATGATTTCCACGGGTCAAGGAAAAACAGTACTGAACCTGTAAAGTCAATAATATCTTGATTTTGTCTCGGTTCCGGCTTTCCGCCAGCATATGTAGTACCAATATCTCACCTTTCAGCTCGGCCTCAATACCGAATGTTTTGCTAGTTGGTTTCAGGCACTCGTCGATCAGCTGTCTCCAGAAATCACATTCGGCTATGTTGACATGTCTGAGGAGTTGTTTTTGTGTACTGTCAACAAGAGCTTTCATCTCGGCAGCCTTCTCCTCAGCTGCAATGGGACGTTCAGAGGTGATGATGTTCAGAGGGCATGTGAGATCAGATCTGCTTAAAGGCACAATTTTACAACACTTTTCTCGAAAATGACATAATGCATTTCTCTCAATAATACCAACTATCAGCCCTCAGGGAAACTACCATTTAATTTATTCCGAAAACATTATGTAATTAAAATACAATGAAGTAAAAAGTTCGAATGATTTAATGGAACGATGCATTAAATCGACTCTCGCGCCCTCTACAGGTCGATCATTATTTCCAGTAAACCCCATAGAGTTATGTCCCTTCGGGCGATCTCTACGAATATCGTATTACGCAACTTGTGATTGAGGCCAGTTCGGCAAACACCGACAACAGCACGTGCGACAGTTTGCGATGTGCAGAGCAATGGTTTACATTCCATATATGGCAAGTAATATTGGCGTGAAAGCTGTTCGCCACGACGTTTCAGTTATCGATTTCAGGCAACTCGTAAGAGGTAATAAGTATGTTTTTGAATCAACAGGAAGCTAATGTGACTGCGTATGCCCCAAATATATAAAACATAGGCCCAAATATTGTCGAACATGTGTGACATTGTGCCTTTAATTAGATACAAGCCATTCATTTTGATAATTCTTTACCACTGTACGCGTACGCCTTCGTGATCATTGTGAGAGTGACAAGGGCTGATGGAAGGGAAGATGGTCTAACATCGCTGATTTGATTCGCCATTTCGTTGTTTTCACGATCATATAGAATATGTTCCCGAAGCATTCTTTAACATTGTGGTATTCAGTTACCACGATACCTGAATTATATCTATGTCCGCACATGTCTGCAGTTTACCGATCATATCTCCAGACACGGTCTTTGCTTGTACAGAGATCAGCGCACAAACTCTGATGTCATGAACATCGTTTTGACAATTCTGACCTCACAAGACATGTGAGATATTTTATAACTCTAAATCTGTGTTTCTTGTCTTCAAAATCTAGCAGTGGCTACAAAAAAAGATTTGTAGCCGTGCTTCAAATAGTTCAAAATTAACATAAAGGTGTTCGGTAAGATAAATACTTCGGTCTCGGGGAACATAAACAAACATCGAGGATACATCAACCCATGCCCCCCTCGTGACCAGTGAACAACTTATAATGTGCATATCAGAATTTTTTTCCATCACTGAGTACCACACTGAAACGTCTGAAGACAATTTGAAAGAGTAAATGAGTGACTATGGTTTTACGCCTCTTTGAGCAACATTCCAGCAATAACACTCCAAAGGACACCAAGATGGGTTTCACACATTGGAGACAAAGTTGTCATAAAACAGAGCGTGAGGGCATTTGTTTTCGACCATTTGGAGTGAGTGAGTTTTACGCCTCCTCCAATATATTCCAGCTATATGGCGGCGGTCTATAAATAATAGGCAAGACCAGACAATCCAATGGTCAATAGCATGAGCATCTGTCTGCGCAATTGGGACACGATGACATGTGTCAAAGACATGGTTTACCTTTAGTTGGTTCCCTCAGCTTCTGTATAGCATACAGCAACCGTTTGATGTGACCTGCAGATATGGAAATAGAGCGTTAGGAATTTTAATACCTAAGGCATTGTTATTGGTGTTATGGGTAAGACTTTGTCCTCAATCATCTATGTTTGTGTTGAGAGATGACGTGATTGCCTGACTGGTCTCACTCGACGCACATGATAACTATCGTCACACAGTCCCTCGTACTGGATAGATCGTTTACACTTTTCTGAATTTTTATATATCCAATGTTGGAGGTTGACAATTATGGTAGCTGGTTCAAGGCATCAAGGTTCAGAGAGAGAGAGAGAGGGGTAGAGAGAGAGAGGGGGGTGATAGAGAGGCAGAGAGAGAGAGAGAGAGATTGATGTGTTTGGTGAAAGATGTTTCCTTCTTGTCTTTTGGAGCAACTAGAGCTACTACTTATATGTTACTCTCTCACCGGCCATAGTAATCCTCAGTTCCTTCTCTATCTCCTTTCTCCCGTATGACTTCAGTATGCTGAGATCCTTGGCCTTCTCGATGCGGTTCTTCCTGAAGTTCTGCTCATACTCAGCCAGACCTATAGTCTCCAGCCATTCCATAACACTATTCTGAAACACAATTGCCGTATGGCACAACTGTGTCATAGAAAACCTAAACGTTGTATTCGTTTCGTAGAAATAGGAGACATATGCACTATGTTTAGGGTATAACTGTACTGTGTTTGACGAATTGGGGTCGTATACTGGTGGTTATATAGCCGCAAATTTAGTTATATCTATTTAAACCAGGTCAAAGTTCCTCTAGGTCAAAGGTTAATCATATCACTCCTTGAACTTACACCGTCGCCAGAAAAAAAGTAGTTGCCTTTTCAAACATCATCACGTTTATTATGTGCACACTGACTAAATCTGACAATGATGAATAAAACAAAGTGTTATGCATAAAATGGACGGAATTATGATGAAACCGCCCCCTAGTTATCAGAAATGAGCGGCCCCCTGATTCCTCAACTACGGGCCATTATCAGTTGAGTTGTCAAATGACGTCACGCTCCATAATGACGTCATAAATATTGTTTCATGATCTAACAGTGTTGGGTCAACAGCCCCTTGCGAGTAAGTTGTTTGAACTTCAAATTATATGTATGATACTGCTTTGTCATTTTTCAACACGAATTACACCCATTTTAGCTGGATAGGGGAGTCAATTTACCTAGGGCTTCTGCAAAAGACAATGCCCTGAAACACAGCATTACCCCAATAGTGTAGGGATACATTCAAAGGTTTTGGTGAATCGTTTTTCAAATTGCGACCGTATATGCTGATTATATGGTCGGAAATTTACAGCATTGATCAATCAGAACTCGTGTTACATACTAAGTTGAATTAGAATTGAACATAAGGTAATGTTTGACCTAATTGATACTCTCTAGATTTCATTTGAAACACGTAGCGGAAGTATTGAGGCGGTAATGTATACGTGAGCACTGAACCGGTGATAAAATCAGACGCATTTTCAATCCAAATTGATAGTGTCTAATTGATTGGATTTATTGACTGTCCAATCGTATTCGAGTATTTTACGAAGTCATGGTTGAACTATTACACATTCTACAAGATATCTTCTCCTTTGAGTGGCATTTTGAAGCTGGTATGATGAACAGGGGCGATCTTGTATGGATAGACAACACCTTTACTGCAGTGGGTGTGACGTTTAGGTGTGGAAGCAAGTGATGCTTGATAACAGTGTCAGCATCTATCTCGAGACGCTGCATACATAGCGATAGAGAAGTTGTCTACCCTTACAAATCGTTCCTGTTTTACAAGATGGACCAGGTGTTCAGTGGAAATCGTACTGGATTTCTCTGATCGTTGTTCGCAACATCCAGCACTGGTTTGTCAAGTTATTTCACAAAATTAGTAAAATATATCTCTATATGATGCATATGAAAATCAGAGTTATTGCCCTTTGACGTTGCAGAAACCTATGATTGTTTATTGCAGTTATGATATTATTTTGGCTGCATATTTGTTATCACCTGTGCTGTGAGTTTCAGAAATGAAGTAAACTTCAAAGATCAGTCGGCGTGATCGATTCCCTTTGACATCCTAGTGGCCACACACAACTGATATACTGCTAAGAGCACTGTTAAACCCAATTACAGTTCTGCTTGATTGTGTTTGTGTTGTGTAACTTCGCACTCAGTAATGTTCCAGCCCGTCAATAGTTAAACACTATGAACACCAACCCCTACCTGTACTCTCTCAGCCTACTTACCGGTACTCCGTATTCTATCTCAAATGCAGGCAGTATCTCGATCATCTGCAGCAGATCCTGGCGCGCCCCCTTGTCCTTGATGCCGATGTTATACAGCTCTTTCTCAGTCATATCAGATATGAAGAGAGTGCTGTCATACCCATACTGTCTGAACAATGTGCTGTACTCCTTAAAACAAGCATGGAATCACACTAAACAGCTGTTTGGGCAACATATGTTACATATGGGATTACACTTTCTGAGTAAAGTACAGATTCTAGTAGTTTTGTTCACACATATGTGCAGCTGAACTGGGTTTAGGTTTACTCGCATTTGCGGCGAATCGAACCGTATCCCATGATCAATTCAATTCGTTATTTGTAATCACTAAAATCAATTATTTATGATTTTTTAAAAATCCACTTTCACTTTAATGTGTACGTTATTTCTCAAAGTAATATACACCTTCTGTGTGACGTATGTTATACTCTTTCACTTTAATATGTAAGTTATTTCTCAAGTGATATACACCTTCTGTGTGACGTATGTTATACTCTTTCACTTTAATATGTAAGTTATTTCTCAAAGTAATATACACCTTCTGTGCGACGTATGTTATACTCTTTCACTTTAATATGAAAGTTATTTCTCAAGTGATATACACCACCTGTGTGAGGTATGTTATACTCTTTTCACTTTAATCTGTAAGTTATTTCACAAAGTGCTATACGCAGAGAATATGTACTATTTGTACGCACTCTGTTCCCGTTCTATGGTGGTACATTTCACCCAATCTATGTGTATCGTTCGCAAAGATAAATGTTGTTCTATCTATTACACTGTCCCCGTTCATGTTTATAAGGCTTCTTTTACTCGGCTGTGTCTGATCTCACTATGTATAAGCCCTCTTTTCTTACATCGCTATGGAGACACGCGTGTTTCTGTTCTTATAGTATTGACCCTCCTTGGAATTTGTTTACGTCTACGGAGACAAGTGTGGGTCTGTTTCTGTTCAGCCACCATGGAGAGAGATGCCTGTGTCTGTCCTTACTCTGTTGTCTCTGGTTTGAGACACACGTGCATTCATACTGTGAATCTTTCTTGAGATACACCAGTGGGTCTGCTCCGGCTCTGCTGACTCTCAGTGGAGACACACGTGTATCTGGTCTTACTCTGTACATCACTATAGAGACACACGTGTGTGATATTCCTTACCTTTAGTTCCGTGGGAAGCCACTCCTCAACTGGGATGGACAGGTACTCATCTTGGTCGTCATCGTCATCGACATCCGCCGACCGTGGTTCACTGCTGGCGCCAGGCTCTGTATGAAACATCGAGTCTAGCTTAACAGATTTTACATTAAATGTTATTTCTTGTTTTTGTTAAACGTCGCACGCAGCAGCTATTCAGGCTGTTTGGCTGCGTTAATGTTTGTAAAAGCTGAAAGATGTAACATCTAAGTAGTTAGACTAAGTTCTCAATAAGCCTGTTTACATGAATAAAGGCAGTAAGGTAACGCGTAGGTCAAGAGGAACTGAGTCATAGATGTGTTGTCATCGAAGCGTTAATTGTGGAATGTCGACACCAGTCTAACATAACTTGTGAAAATTTTACTTGAAGTTTGCATGATGCTAGCATAATGAAATATCTTCAGAGAAAGTAGCAGCCTGCTTTTGGGAATATTTAAAAATGCAACATCAATTGCCCGTCAAAAGTCATATGATGAAGCAAACAATGGAACAGGGTTACTCCACATATAGTAGATGCTGACAATGTGAATGTCTTCAGTAACCCGTGCTTGTATGAGGCGACTAACGGGATCGGGTGGTCAGGCTCGTCCTGGTTGCCACATGTCATCGTATCCCAGTTGCGTAGATCGATGCTCATGCTTTTGATCACTGGAATGTCTGGTCCAAAACGATTATTTACAGACTGCCGCCATACAGCAGGAATGTTGCTGAGTGCGGCGTAAAGTTAAATTCACTCACTCACTATAGTTCCGGTAGGCCAAACACTGGAATGTTGAACTGCAATGATTATATCGATCGGTATAACTTGAGCCTAGTTAGCGAGATTCCCTTCCACTATGTGATGATAAACATCTAAGAAAAGGACAAGCAAGAGGTTTGTATTAAACATAGATGTGGTGAGGAAGTCGCGATTTCCATATACAGTGTATTGTTTTCTGGTGATGCTTCAGATGACTCAGTTTTGCCTTGAACTGTTGGAGATAGAGATGAAGCCATACCTCCTTGACAAAGTTCCACATGGCCAAGGAATGACATGCCAGTGAGCTGAGGTAGTAATGCATTCTATTGAGTAGTAACGGTGAAGTGCGTGAACTTACTTAGATCCTCGTTAGATGCCCATTTCTCAAACGGAGGCACTTCAATTTTGAGGGTCTTGTCAGTGGAGATTCCACGTTTGATACAGCAACTGAATCACGTGATCAGAAAGAAGACGAATGTTTTTAAACTTATGAAAACCAACTGGTCGTGGAATCTTGACAAACAGTTCCAGACTTACAATGGTGGCTCACAGGTTTGCTGGACTGGATCCTCAACATGGCGGACGTGACTCAGTTATGTCCAGTTCGCTGAGAAATACCGAGGCTACTGCTGACAAACAGGCACATTAAACATCACTATCTGGATTTTTATTAGACATAACTTCACATTCATTGCTGATCGGCTAGCTTCTTTCATATTACAATAAATGGACAGGAAATGAGTCTATGAGTTTTGACGCATTGATATTGAAAGTGAAACTGAAATGTTAGGTCCAGAAACTGCATTTTCTCTGCGTAGTCACTGCATGAGAAATATTAACGGTACAAAGTCATTGTCTAAGAAGCACACGAGGCGAGGAGGGGTCGACTATTGGCCAAAGCCTCCGTCGTCAAGCCGATGACTCACAAATATTGCTAAACGCGGCGTAAAATCACACTCACTCACTCACTCACAAACCCACTTACAAACATAGGATCTCCATTATCTTCTGAAGTCGCTTGTATCCCGGTTCGCCCATAACGTCTCCATAGTTTTTCTTCTCTCGGGTTCCTGCAGACATCAAGAATCAGTGCACAGCATTAGATGTAACAGTGCTGAATATGTATAGCGAATGGAAGTGCAGACATAACAACCTTAAACCTTGAACATAGTCTTGGTTGAGGCCAGTGGGTTGTAAATCTAAATCTCGGAAATCAAAACCAATGGCAATCATGACACCCTCCTCTAAACAATGTGTGGCACTGTATATTATTAAACATTTAATGTGTATTAGATGCAGTGTAAGTAAGTGGGTGTGTGACTGTGTTCAGCTTGACTCTCAGCAATATTCCAGCTTTAAATAACAATAGTGTCTGGACCAGAAATCCAGTGGTCAACAGCATGAGCCTCGATCCACGCAATTGGGAACCGTTCACATGTGTCCACCAAGTCAGCGAGCCTGACCACCCGATCCCACTAGTTGCCAGCATTGGTTATTGAAGACCAATTCTAACCCGGATCCTCACAGGTCTCAGTGTAAGTAGGTCACAGCTTCTTGTTAAACCACTGCCTCACTGTGGGAATGTGGCTCAGGATCCCTAAAACCACTAGAATCTCTACTTCACCAAGAAAGTGTGCTCACAAGAACTGATGACTTTTTAAATGGTATTTATTATACTCGACAGTGTTCGGTTTCAGCACAGTACGACAGTTTCACAATATTGATGCAAGAAGCACCAAACTAATGCAGACTAGGAATCTGGACAACTGTTATGATGCTGGCACTTACAGGATAACTTGCCCTACATATATCAACGTATATAGTGGTCAGGCTTGGTTGCATAAGGCACAACATTGGGTGGGTACCTCAAGACTGTGACAATATTCAGTTTGCATCCCTGATTCGTGTTTCTGTGTGCTCAGCACCAATCTTGTGCTGGCTAGTTTCACCAACACTGTTCATCCTATCTCGAACAGCCAACTTTCATGCCGTGATATAATTGAAACACTGTTTAAAGCGGCGTAAAATCAAACTCATTCAGCGTGAAGTATACCCCAACTCCTGTCTGGAATGTTGCACGCGCTGTAGATCATCAACAGCAGGTACCCGGATGGTAGACACAGAAGGTAACATATGCCATATATGAGGCACACAAACTCTCTAGGGTGAAGCACGGCAGCGAAGACAAACACGGAAAAGATTGACCACAGGTAGATTGTGGTTGGTGACACTTTCGTACTGCTCCCATTGTCGGCGGAAAGAAAAGCTTCCCCTGGAGGCTTTTGGGTACCCGATCCATTGCCAAAAAGTTGAAGGTTCTCCGTTAATACTTGAAATCCAGGTCCACCATCTGAAGAATAGCATTAATAACATTTCATAAACGTAACGTTAAGAAATAAGTACATGTTTTTAAGCCGCATCAGGAATTGTGAAGCAATTCGCCGCTAAAACAGCATCAACACCCATGGATCTCTGATGGTGTTATTTTAGGTATACATACTCCTCTTTTCATTTCATATGATAACTTGCTAACCCATCCACAAAACAAAAAGAAATAAAAGATTCACTTCGTAAAAGGAAATATTTATAATATTTTCATCGTTGGTACTTAAAATAGTTCAGGATATGAAATGGCAGGCTCCTGACAAAGACAAAGTTCTATTCTAGAGAGGTGTTCATCTATCGACTGAATGCCACTAAATCGCATCAGAGTCTCAACCAAAACAGTATGATTAACAAGGGAAATACATATCGCAGTACAGTAGTGTACACAGAGAGTAATCCCAACACCATTGCATCCTCAGGAACTTAAGTGATCATTGAGTCACACTTTAAACGTGAGTGAAAGTAGAAAGGAAACAGACCAAACTGGGGAAACAAACTGCTGGTAGATCGAATCTAAGTAATAAAATGAATGATTTCATGAATTCAGTATATAAATAATATTATGTGACTCTTTAGAATATTAATGTGGGCTGTAGATCACAAGTAGCCAAGGTTAGGCCAGCAAACCAGGGACCATGGGAGCTAACGGCCACACGTTTTATATTGACATGATAGTCTTATATATTCTGTGTCAGTAAACGCCTCTCAAAGAAAGTAAACGAGCGTTTACTTATGTATTCTGTGACAGTAATTGCAGTGTTTACTTATGTAATCTATATCAGTAAACGCAGTGTTTACTTATATATTCTGTGTCGGTAAATGCAGCGTTTACAGTATCACAGAACACTTAAATGTAAACTCTTTCTTCTTGTGTTTTTTATTTCACATCAAACCTAAAAAGGCACTTTATACTGAACAAGTAATGCAGGTAACCCTGTTCAATGAATTTGTTATTGACTAATATATATATATATAAATATATATATAGATATAGATAGATAGATAGATACCAGACCAAACGAATATCCAGCCTTTACTATCCCAAGAATATCCCTTTGGTGCAAGAGGGGAAACTAGCTCTGAATGGATCACTTAAAAAGTATTTTCAAGATTATTTTCCTGACAAAAAGGTTCAACTCTAATGGCTTTGATACTGCGCCAAAAGCATCATGACCACTGACTTAAGGCCTGACATCCGCTTATCCGGGACACCGTCCTCGTGAAGATTAGAATTATACCCAACTTACTTTTGTTCAGCTCATCTGCTATGTTTATGGCCGCCCCTATAATCACCACCGCCATCACAATAGCATAGAGGAACGTCAGCAGCTTCGCAGTCTGCAAAATGTAGATGCAACGTTTCGGGAATGGTTTGGAATATACCCAAATGCATTCGACAAAACAGTTATCTCATTGGTGTTTCATAAATGCGAACTATATTCGTGACTCGATCAAGCCATCTCAGACACCATCATCCACGCTTTACGGTAAAATCGGTGGTGCCATTACTCATTGCCAGACTTTGTCATATATATCTGTAGTTATAATATCATTGATAGAGGAACCAATACTAAATTATAAGCCCCTCAGGACGATAGATAAGGAAATGTGATATCTTGGCAGGACCTTCGCGAAAGACCCAATATGTGTAGCAACAAAATAAGATAAGAGTTTCCTCATGCAGATGTCACTTCAGAGATCGATGGATGCATATCATTTTGCACTCTACGACACACGGTAATGCTCATTCGCCTGCAGGGTTCATCCAAAGCTTCTTATGCGACTTCACGGTGTATTAGTACGTCACAGACACGGTTTACATCAAGAATGACATTAAATGATTAGGAAATTCTCGTCCTCATGTCGTCTATACGGTACAACCTTCACAGTTCATATTTTCCAGCAGATGCTTGCGACACATAAACGCTTCTGATAATACTCAACAATGGCATTACATGATTTTAGTTCTCCGGTCTCTCTCACGGTATAACATGCACAATTCAAATTACGTGCAGATGTTTGCGACATACAAACGCTCTCTGATAATAGCCAAGAATGACATTACATGGTTATCGCCCTCACATCTCCAACACGATAAAGCATACACAATTCAAATTTCGTGCAGATGTTTGCCATATACAAACACTCTCTGATAATACTCAAGGATGACATTACGTTATATCGTCCTCACGTCTCCAACGCGGTACAACATGCACAATTCAAATTTCGTGCAGATGATTCCCATACAAATACCCTGTCTGTCAGTGTGATCAGAAGGATGTAGTTATGATGTGTGTTTACCAGAAGCTGCGTCTTCTCCGACGTGAAGAGACAGATGAAGGTGAAGCTGGCAGCAATGCTGAGCTGAAGCAGCCCTGAGATTACAGGAGCCACGTCCCAGGCGAATGACAAACCGCCTTTATGACAAAATAGAAGAATCACAAGTTACCCAAATGACATTTATGACATAAGAGTATAGTCACCTTTAGAGTAAAACAACATATTAATTATCAACATTTAACATTATAGCAAATTTCTAGGAAACAAGTTATTCATTTGTAGAATATGATAAAGAAGTCACCTCGACAATAAAATTGGTGCGATAATACCTTGTCAAAACAAAGTACCCTACAGTAACTCAGTAACACTGTCACTGACACCTTGAATTGGTTCACACGAGGCATAAGCTACATTGCGAATCGTGCACACATATGTGTATGAATTCTGCAGAACAGGTAGCGCTGTCAGTAGCTCTATTGATGCAAGAATTCCTGAAAAGTCAGTGCAGTATTATTATGTTTTCGAGATTAAGACTAAAATGCAGCAGAGAGCGTTCGGGTGATCCTGGCATTATCAGTCTGGTAAGACTCTTCATCAGCTCAAGGCCCTTGCCCCCTCTACACGCAGCGAAGACAGCGAATGGGACTTAAACTCTGTCTAGTCCAACCCACCGGGAAGTTTCCGGAGAATGTCAGAAGGGCTGTGCTCCGACTGGAGAGCCAGGGCACTCTCCTGATCTGCGCCAAGAGATCAGGAGGTACCATACCAAGGGCACCGGGAACAATGTTAAGGCTAAAGACAGTGTACTTGGGGTGCAAGCGAGACATTTCAAAGGCGAGGTCTGTATATTTAGCATGCTTTTCCTGAATCTTGCCAATCACACTGTTGTCAAGGGGAACAGAAAATTCAATGATAATTATTATTTTACCTGAAACAATTAAGATGACCATGCTTGGACCAATCAGAGTTGACACGAGAAGAGCAATAAACAGCGGTGACACTCGGTAGTTGAACAGCCGAATGATCTTCCACTGTTTGATCAGCAGCATCAGGTTGGCAATGGTGGAGGCGATCCAACGTCGACGCTGTTTGTAGAACTCCTCAAAGTCACTAGGACAGTGCGTGGAGTTATTTGAGGCTGCGCAGTACTCAATTCTCCAGCCGCTCTGAATCTGAAATGTTACCATTTGTGTGGGAACGGATAAAAACAAATGACTAATACATGCAGTGAAAACATTCTGTGGCGGTTCCAGTACTGGTATCCCGATTTCCCTCTCCACCATAAAATAGAACTTTTAAGCTTAATTGAACATGACTGAACCATTCGACAGCAAAACATTCATTGTCATGGCCATGTATATTGTCAGGTGCCACACCCCCAGCCATAGCAATAGATAAAACACCATTAAACAGAAACGTGAACGCCTGTGAAGATCTGTGACCCTTAGATCCGTGAAAACTCGAATACGCGTTATATACTTATATCACATGACCTTGGGCTAGATGTGATTGGCCAATAACGTCAAAAGACATGTAGGGCTTTCTAAGAAAAGTGCAATATGGTTTTATGCAATTCTTCTGCTTCCATGTTTCTTCAGAAGAAACTGTGTGTCAAAATTATAATTCCTTACCGAAAACCATTCACTCACTCCTTCATACATCACAACAGATGCTCACCATGAGAGTACACAGCCAGCGATCCTCTCCCATGTCTTTAGTGAGGAAATCAAACGCATGTTCCACATTGGTGGAGTATACTGTGAGGATCTCCTTGAGGGCGATACAGCGGTACACACTAAAACTCCCCGGAGCACAGAGCACCGACCCCAGAACATGTTCTGCTGCCTAGAAATAAAGTGTAAAGAGTTAATCCAGTGTGTAGCCTAGTGACAACAGCACTTGCACCTCTGCATATTTTGTAATAATTGCAATACATCATGGTTTATTTTGAAAGAACAGACGCTTTTCTCAGCAATGATATCCAACAAAACAATATGTCTTCGTTATTTACCGAGAAAGAGATCATGGTCTTCCAAAATACATTTGGCCCCAGTTTGAACCATTATGTTTAGTTTCATTATTTATAAAAAAATGTATAGATATAATGTATGTATATATATATATTACTGTATACTTGTTTCATACCTGACAGTTTACTAAACATTGTTAAATCACTCACAACCTACGCTTGACTAGTCGTATGACAACCAACATTTACTGAAGTTAAATACGCCATTAACAATCCATGCATCAGGATTCTATAACACACTATGACGTCAGAGAAACTGATAACCGATCGTGCTGGTCAAGCTTGGATGTTTCACTGGAATGTTCACAGTTGAGGGTACAAGAATGTCAAGTGTGTTTGTATGTCCATCATATAAGACTTAGTGAAGGTACAAGAATGTCATGTGTGTTTGTATGTCCATCATATAAGACTGGGTGAGGTTAGTTGTACGTCGCTTTAGCAATATTCTCCAGAAACTACCTCCACACATTGTACCCATTCTCTGGAATAGAACTCAGATCTTTGATGTAAACACTCTAACCACTGGCTAACCCGTGGGATATAAGGAATGTCTGATGTAACTGCATGTCAGTGAGGATTACAAAACACCCACCTTCTGAAACCAGTGTCCTATTGCATACTCGAACACTTGATACCATACCAGAGGTCCACTTCCGATTGGGTGGGTGCGTGCGCATACTGCACCAACAGTGGGGTCACGTGTCATGAGATCAAGAAGCGCTTCCACCGATTCTGGAGTAAATGCGACGTCACCATCCGTCGTCAGGATGAAGCAGTCTTCATCAATCGCTGATGATACCAAACAAAGAAGAACACATTAATACTCTCGCGAGCATCAGTGTTAAACAACTCTAAACTGCAAGTGTTCCACAATTAGATCTGAAAGGAAAATAAACATCTTATAGAGCAAGTTGCGGTCCAAGTACGACGAAGTGACACACCTCCACATGGGAGCTGTTTGAAATCTCTCAGGTGTGATACCAGGATTTGTTGGTGTGTGTGTGTGTGTGCGCGCGCGTGCGTGTGTGTGCGTGTGTGTGTGTGTGTGTGTGTGTTATCACAGACTTATGTGGTTTAATAGTTGTGAACCCATCCTCTGTGCCGTCGCATAAACGTTCGATCCTTTCGAGTTGGCATGGACAATTGTGTGTAAGCTGTATGTGAAATTATTTCCACAGTAACGCAGACATATCATGGACAAACTAATATACATTTACTGATTTGGTTAAAGGTGCATGAACATGAATTTGGATAACAAAACCGGAAATCATTAAAGGGCGAACCTCCAATTCAAATGTTTTATTATGGAATCCTGGCGTGCTTAAAGGTCTATTCTCACGTCGTCTTGTAGTAACTACTTGTAGAATCGACCTCAGTTGATGTATGAACACCCTAATCGTATCAACGTTGACATGCTCTCAACCTGTTGAACGCGAACTGTCCCTATCTTGTGTGACGGATCGTATGGATTCACAAATCAGAAACGTGGAAATACTAAGACAAGAGTTCCCTCCCTTTGTAAACATTTGTCATGGTAGTCAAGGCCCGCTCTCCAATGCTGACACGCAATATATTGTTAATTACTTGATTGATTTTCAATTTGTCTGGATATTAATTCCAACAATAAATGGAAATTATTCGAGTCCATATCATATCCAACATAGGATGTGAATGTGAAGAAACCTGGGTTAAATTCTTTAATCGATAATCAGATCGATGCCTCAAAGGTCCCAGAGTGTTTGATTTATAAACACCAGGCAATGACACACAGGTTATAATAAAAAGGATCATAGGGAAGTACCTAACTTCTGTACCTTTAATAGATAAATATACTCAAGTTAACAGCGCTGTTTGTTAACAGAGGCATAGATGACCTAATTGAAAGTATGAGAGGGTATTACAGATCTATAACACCAACATTGCCAAGAAACAAGTCTGCATAGATTAACACATAGACACTGGTATGGTATGCAGCTTTTGAGAATTCAACTGGTCAGGTAGTCCACTCTTTCAACGTCTGTCAAAGCAATCACGATATAAGGTCATATACAAAGTCAGAAAAACACGGACGCAGGAGTAGGAAACTGTAAGTTTTCTTTCATCTCAAGACTGTTGATTTTGTGAGAAGCCAATTTGTCCGACACGATCGAATCGCATTTTAAGTGACATATGTTATAGCTCCATCATGATGAGTTTCAGCGTGTGCACTCAAGGATGTTTCCGATACAAAAGTGAGTGAGTGAGTGACTTTGGTTTTACACTGCTTCTAGCGATATTCCAGCAATATCACGGCGGGGGACACCAGAAATGGGCTTCAGACATTTTATCCATGCGGGGAATCGAACCCGGGCGTTCGGCGTCAGGAGCAAGCACTTTAACCACAAGGCTACCCCACCGCCCCTCAGATACGAAAGCTCTAATTTGTGTATTTGATAAAGCATGCATAGAGGGAAATTGACAAATAATACATAAATAATCAAATATGGAACTCAGTATAGAACTCGAACCTATCTCTCTACTCTGAGAGACCTGTCTAATAATTTGACATGGCCACTTATGCGGCGCTAGAAGGTTAATAGTCGTATGGCTGATACCACCGGGTACCCATTTTTACTTACACGCATTAGCCTACCCTAAATACATTCCATACCACTTAAGCACTCACACGTACATTGACCTATTCTGTCATGTAGACTACTTACAGGTCACCAGGAAGTCGATCACGTAGGACATGTACATGATTTGACTCCAGCGTTTCTTGTTTCGAACCTGCAGAAAGACATGTTTTAAGCTGGATCAACTAACACTAGACGAACTGGGGTAATGTCATTTGAGGAACTATCGAAATTGAACGAACCTTAGATAATGGTTTGAGCTACCCGAGGTTCGATAGAATGGAAACACGATGTTTAAGGAAGGAACACGCAGTGACCAAGTTTTTATTACCAGATGACCCAAAACAGGTGCTAGAATCTGTAATTTACTGAAAAGTGTATTACCATAAAACACATTTGAGCACTTTCTCATTGGCACTGAGTATTCATGGATAATACCAGTGACGCTACAATTAACTTTTCTTTTCCTTTAGAAAAGGTTAAATAGTTTACGAAAATGAAAACGTTTTCCCTCACTTTTAGATACAAAAAAGCATACCACTTGCAATCTCATCTTAACTTAAAGATTTGTGTGATTGAATGATTACCTTGCGTTCGTCCTTAAGATGTATGTTAAACGTCATTGGTCTGACGTCTGAAGCTGACTGTGGAAGGTTCCAGCTCAACTTCATCCCATATGGCGTCTCCACCTTCGTGCAGTTGTCTGTCAGGATACCTGAATGGAATAAGGTGCGAGGTTGGACATAACATGTGTATCTCAAACAGGGAACCCAAATCTTGTTCTGCAGACTAAGAGGATATTCTGAGGGCTTACACAACTTGACTGACAACCACGGCCAAATGTATATGTGTCCTTCCCGATGCTACATCACCCCTCTACCCCCCGTAAATAAATAACCAGAGCAGTCATGGATCTGGAACCACCGTTATTGGCTTTAAAGGCACAATGCCACATATTTTGCCCTACATTTTACATATTGGAGCATATGCACTCACTTTAGCTTCCCATTGATGCAATAAAAGACTATTGGTAATTATCCTTACGACTTGCCTGATTTCGATAATTGAAACTTCAAGGCGAGTATCTTCCAAGCAGAGAAACACTTGCCATATATAGAAAGTAAACAATTGCTCCGTGCATCGAAAACTGTCGCACGCGATGTTGTCAGTGTGTGCCAATAGAGGACGTGAGAGTCGATGTAATGCTGAGTTGCATTCATTCGTTCGAACTTTTTAATCTATTATTGTAATCTAACTACGCCATTTTAAATAGTAGTTTCCCTGAGGGCTGATAATATTATTGACAGAAATGCATTATATATTTTTAGAGAAGTGTGGTGTGATATAGTGTCTTTGGGACCGCCTACGGTGAAACGAATCTGTCAAAGGTGGATTCTAGCTCACGGTAAAAGGGAAAGTCATTGTGATAGATACGTGCCTAGAGTTTCTTGGATCAGAGTCAGGAGCTGAAGAGGAAATTCTGAGATATTTTTCTTCCGTATTCCACTGTCGAACATGATATGTGACTCGAAGAACCTGTCATTATGAAAACGAGCCACGTTGATTTGGTTGACGGACTGGAGAAGTTGTCTCATCTCGTCTTGTGTCTGGTGATACAGAGACAGAGAGGAACCAAAATAGATATAATGCACTTAAATCACCTAGATGGTAAAATAGACTGTTTTATCACTGACATGAGCGGGAGGGATTTGTCCTCCTCAAATCCACATAATAATCGGTCTCCGTTATGCTCTTTGACAGTTTCAGATGAAGCAACAGACAATATGATAGACTATGATATGACTGGATCACTAATACCCGTTCCATAAAGCTGTAGAATCACTTACTCTCGTGAGACGATGTTACAGTATTGGATTTACGATCATCTCAGAGGTAGGTTTTGTGACATGTATTCTCATATCTTGACCATATTGACAAAAACATTATGTTCTTTCAATGAATCCAGTAGAACTTCATGAATGTGGGCACACTCTTTTAAAACCTGTATAGCTTCTTCTCGACATAAGCATATGTTGGCAAAAAAATATAAACACAAAATTGGACACATATGCAAGAAAATACCTCTCTGTACATGGTCGTACAGATGTACACTCGACTCCTCCTGTGGGTTGGGCGTGGTTGCTCTCTTTGCTCTGTCTGCCTGTTGAGGATCAACCACTGCTCCAGCAGAACGCCATTGTAGGATGGCAGCCAGAATATCTGATGATGAAAATATTATCACCATGAATGCCTGCTCACTTCAAAACATGTATTTGAACATGTCTTAGTTATTGTATTGGATATCTTAGACAATGTTTTTAGTTTGTGTCATTCAACCAAATCGAAAATTAAAAGTGACTTGTGGTCTATTTTCCCATTAGTTACAATAAATGCATACAATGGGGATATCGTTTGTAATGCAGTTTCTAAAGTGTGACTTGAACAGTCGTATGTATTCCTTTACACCGAAGTAGGTTGTATTACTGCAGATTGTAAATAATCGAGTAACTATCAAATGAATTATATTTTAGGCACGGCCCCACTGCTGCTTGGCTGGATTTATCAATCAGTAAATTGTACTGTTGCTATGTCCTTGGCCTGATGACACATTTAACCTGTTGACACAAATCCTTGTAATGACTGACGTGAATATTCAGATTCTTACAACCGTTCAGTAGGTTTGATTTGGAATATTCAAACAAGCAATCAGCCTGTTCGGAAATGTCAAACCAATGTACAAGAAATTAGTATTCATTACAAATGTGACGGCATGTTCCATAGTTCAGGTTCACTTTTGCGAAATCTTCGTTGTCTGAATATTATCAGAAGAGGTGGGCATGGGTGGTAGACTATTTCTTCTTCGTTTGTTATCAAACTTACAAATCTTATTGTGCCTTCATGGCGTGAAATCTCTTTCTGTTGATATTCAAGATTTGGTATTCTTTTGCATTTCTTCTATTTACTGCAACGGGTATAGTATATTAAGTCACAGTACTTACTGATGATTCCTTTTGGGGTGGGATGAACTTGCTTCTGAAAATCAGCAGCGTTGTACAATGAAGATGAGCGAGACAGAAACAAGCTGTCGCTACTATCACAGCCCATAGGTTCCTGTTGTCGTCTACACACACGCCCCGAGAGAAAGGCAAGGCGACTAAACAGCAACTTTTCACCAGCAAAACTACCACGAACAGAGGGCAAGTTAGACAGATTGGGATAGCAAAGGCCCATTTGTGTACAGCAGTCTGACAGGCAAGTAAGGAAAGAAAGTATCCGACCAATGTTGCATGTATGTTAGTGAGGAAGTAATTACAGTTACTGTTGATGACAAACTTCCAGGCTGCAAGGAAATCTTCATACGTCTCATTCTTCAACAGCATTTCAGTTGAATAGATGTTGCCGTCAACGTAAAACAATATGTAGCTGAAAACCAACACAAACACAGCTTTGACAAAGTTGGATATGATTCCCATCTTCCATGATGAACCTGCTGACTGCAATCCGGGTCCTGCAGAGTGAGTCTCGGTGTCTCCTATCCTGGAGTAAGCTATTTCTCCTGAGCTGGAACTGGCATCTGTTTCAAGTTTCGATTTTACAGTCAGTTTCTGTATGACTGGGACCCAAGCTACAGTGAGACAAGCAATGGAAACTAAGGCATGCCATATGTCACTATTCGTGTCCTGTTCTAGAACCAGAAACAGAACTAATCCAAAACCAGCAAGTTGAAACACGCACGCCAACGCGGAAATGGCACAGACTGCCGTGCCCCTTCGATGTCGTCGTCTGTGGATTGCGTAGTAAACTGTGTTGACAACAAGTGGAACAACGAGCACAGCATTCATCAGAAGTATGGTGAGGTAGCCTTTGTATTTCACCAAAACCTTCAACGCAAACAAACACACTCCAAACGATTCCAGTACAGCAGCAGCAATACCCTGCAAAAATATGGTATATATCCTTAGATGAGTGTGTTAGTTCCGTTTGACATCGGTAAGCATTTGACTTATTTAATGGTAGGTTAATTCAAGATGAAACAAGTGGTTCATATGTCCAAGGCACCGCTATGCAAAAGACCGCCTCCGTGGTGTAGTGGTTACAGCGTCCGCCCGGAGAGCGGAATGTCCCGGGTCCGATCTCCTACCGCGTCATACCAAAAGACGTTAAAATTTGGTACTTTTTGGTCCCTATCTGGCGCTCGGCATTAATGGCTTGGAGCCAGTATAATGTGTCTGAGTGGGGTATTCATGCTTCACTGCGGCATGGTATCTCAGTGGGCTAGCACTATAAAACCAGCTTCAGTGTGGGCTAGTACAAGCAGCCGCACATACACATACACACGCATGCACGTCATCATATGAGCGAAATATTCTCAAGCACGACGATAAACCCAATTTCACCTCACCTCACCTCATTATGCAAAAACGTATGCTTCAGAGTTGCCTCCCGTAGCATGCCAAAATCCCATGGTCGAGACATAAGGGAATGTAAGACATATGGTCAACAGAAGTGGGGTTCGTTTGGAAGATCACAGGTTTCTTGGTCGCATGTGGGGCCCAACTCTGAAAAGGGGTATTTGATTGACAATATTTAGTTCTTAATCATCCACATGCCATGTAATAGTGCCCTTGGGTGTACTAACTTTTCAATTAGCATTTGAATTCATTCATTGTTGAAAAACAAGACTAGAAACAAGATGTGGGATAGAGACCTGAAAATACTCACTATTATCAAAGACTTGATGCTTGGCCACGGCATGTCCTTCCGGAATAAAGAGAGGATCACAGCTCTTAGGAAATTGAAACAGTACGGCACAAGTAAAATCAGGGCGAGCATCAGAAACACACGAGTAGCTTCTCTCCTCCCCTCTCTGGTGCTCGCAGAAATAGCTTCTTTGGTAGAGTTGTTGAGTCTCTCTGCCAGACCCACGACGGAAAGCTTGCCGGCTGACAGGCATGCGAGAAGAAATACTCCAATCAGTATAGTCCACATCCACTTAACAACTGGAGCCAGTAATGGTGGTTTGCGAGAGGCAAGAAGTTTCTCATCAAGCCTTTCAGTAACTTTCCATTTACTGCTTACACTCAGATCAGTTTTATGTTCAGCCTCAGAATTATCCCGTGATTTTACAGAATCTAAAGACGTGATAGAGGCCCCATCGTGCTCTTTGGTACGAATGTGGTTGGAAGCAGCAGAAGGACCTCCATGTACGCCATGTACATTTTGCCCCGCCTCACCAACTCCAGAAACACCCTGAACACCATCTCCATGGCGACTATGCATCACACTTGACGGGCTCTGGTCCCTTGTAACGACAGGATTTTCCATCTTGTCCCTTGATTGGACCAAACACCAAACACCTAACGTTTACCCTGTAAACATAAAAACACCGAGGTGTTGCTTGTATGTTAAAATAATCCAATGACACTTCAGTTCGTGAGATTTCACACGTATTCATTTGTTTAATAAACAGTAGAGAATGGATATCTGTATATGGGTGTGAACCCGTGATTGTCCCAGTTAGAAGTGATATTCAGTAACCCTGCTTGCCGTAAGATGCAACTAGCAGGATCGGGTGGTCAAGCTCACTGACTTGGTAGACGTCCCAATTGCGTAGATCGATGCTCCTGCTGTTGATTACTGGATTTTCTTGTCCAGACTCGGTTATTTATAGACTGCCGCCATATAGCTGGAATATTGCTGAGTGCGGCGTAAAACAACAACCAATCCAACACGTCCAATTGTAATGTGTCAGATACAAACGAAGCAAATGGCAGTCAATACCAATTGCAATGTATACTGAGTCAAAAAAGAAACTTTACAAAATGTAAATTGAAAAATAATGAATAATTTCTTCTCTGATGATACATCTATATATCCGAAATGGGATCCCTATCTTTCGACTCTAGAACAACGTTAGCAAAACCCACTCAAACCCATTCATTCATCGTGCAAATGACGTTAGTCGCAAATCAGGTTTTGCACGTGCAGTCGATTACGTGACCCTCGCATCGAAGTTTTCTTCATATGCACGTGTTTCCATTGGCCTCAAGAATTGAAAAAACACTTTTAAACCACAGTTCTAACGGTACTTGAAATGCCACGATTGTCAAGTGTGCAACGTAAACGTATCGTTGGCATGTTGCAAGCGGGAAGATCAGTTGTTGACGTCGCAAGAGCAATGGGATGCAGCCGTCGTACTGTATATGACAGGCGAGGTCGTCAACAAGAAACTGGCACCACTTCTGATCGCCCAGGGTCGGGTCGTCCACGTGTGACGTCACGAGCAGAAGACCGTCAAATCGTCCTACGTCACCTACGTGACAGATTTCTGCCGGCTACACGAACCAGGGCTGTGATGTTTAGAGGTCGACTGTCCTCACAGACCATTTGAAATCGGTTCCGGGCTGCCAGTGTCCATTCTCGACGTCCATATCGTGGGTCAATATTGACGCCGTTTCATCAACGTCAACGTCTGCTGTGGGCCCAACGTCACCTCCGATGGACCCAGAGAGACTGGAATTGAGTCGTCTTTAGCGATGAATCCAGGTTTACCCTCAGATTCGCGGACGGCAGGCATAGAGTCTGGAGACGACGTCGTGAACGGTATGCCCAATGTTGTGTACAGGAAGTTGACAGATTCGGGGGCGGAAGTTGCATGGTGTGGGGTGCTTTCTGTGGGAACAACCGTTTCCGACTTCTGGTCATCCGTGGAAACCTCACAGCTGCTGCTTACCGCGACCAGGTGCTCACCCCTGAACTCGTTCCTTTCATGGCGGCTCATGGCTCAGGTCTACAGTTCAAGCATGATAATGCTCGGCCGCATACTGCGATGTTGACATGAAATTTCCTTCAAAACGCTGGAATCAACGTCATGGACTGGCCATCGAGGTCCCCTGACCTTAATCCAATAGAGCACGTTTGGGATGCAGTTGGGAGAAGGCTTCGTGGTCTTAGGAACCAACCTCAGAATTTGCAGGAACTTGGCGCTGCCTTGCAAGTGCAATGGCGCAGAATCCCATGATGTGTTCACAAGCATCAGGCAGTCGATGAGGAGACGGTGTGTGGCAGTGGTGACTGCGCGGGGCGGCCATACACGATATTGAACTGAGAAATTTCGCAGTTTTATTCTCGTGACTTGACATTCTGTATACCCATGTCTTGGAACGGCGGTGTAGCCTAGTGGAACTGATTATGGCACTGTCAGTGTATCGAGTACATCACACAGATCTCAGCAATGAAATTATAACAATTTAACTATCTTACCATCTCTTGTTCTTTTATAGTGCCCTGAAGAAAGAATGTGAAGTTTCTTTTTTGACTCAGTATATAAAATATTTCAATGGTACAGTATGACATCTTGCGTCATCCCACAAGCAGCCTCTACGATAGATTTTTATACTAGATAGAACGCATAGACATCATGTAGCTTCTTACATACATGACAGACGCAAGTGTATATCAGACAATGGCCAATTGCTGTAATGATTATCGTTTGACGCTGAACGTATGCTTTGTCTGGTTGGTCATATGGCGGCTTTGTGTATATACCTGACAATCCAGTGACAAATAGCAAGACTTTAGTTTACGCAATTGTGCATGGTGGATGACATCTGTCTGTAATTAATCTGGACCAGACAATCAGACGTTTGACATCATAAACATATATCTACGCAGCATCGATACAATGACATGTACGTAGACTCGCAAGACACGAGATTGATCACGTTATCACCACTTACCACTTACGATAGCTATAAGTTATGGAGGAAACGTATTCCTTACCAGAATCCACAGGAGAGAAAGATGATAAAAGTAGATACATAACCGCATAAGTAGTAGAAGTAGCAGGATTGGTTATATAGAGGTAGATATAATAGTTTGACTTCCCGGTTGCAAACCTAGTCTCTGTGCTTCGACAACAACATCGTCGACATCGAGTTCAATGGTGCACCAACGTTCAGGCCTGGAACCTACCGAATTGGCATAGAATCTGGTTTAGTGATGAATCATAATTACTATTGGAACGACGCGATGAAAGAATGCGGGTGTACAGACGTCGACGTGAACGTTTCGCCGACGCTTGCGTTCTCCGGGTTGACAGATTCGGCCGGGGAAGTCTTATGATGTGGGGAGAGATCACCTGCCGTAGGAGTAGTGATTTAGACACTTCAGCAACTCGCACAGGCACTACAGGCAGAGTGGGCTGCGATTGGGCAACACGAGATTCTGAGACATATTCGTTCGATGCCGAGGCGATGCCGTGCAGATCTGGATGCCGTGGGGCGGTGGGGTAGCCCAATGGTTAAAGCGTTGGCTCGTCACGCCGAAGACCCGGGTTCGATTCCCCAAATGGGCGCAATGTGTGAAGCTCATTTCTGGTGTACCCCGCCGTGATATTGCTGGAATACTGCTAAAAGCGGCGTAAAACCATAGTCACTCACTCACTCTGGATGCCCACGGTGGTCACGCTAGGTATTGACTTCAGCGCCACCACACGTCTCCATGTGACACTCAAACTGACTTTCCTCGAGTTGGTGCCAAAGACGGATAAGTCTGTATTCCCTGTGTGCAATTTCGCTATAGTTCATTGACATAAAAATACAGTTGAAATTCCTATATGCGTTTCTTTTTTGAGAGAGTATACATAACCGCATAAGTAGTAGAAGAAGCAGGATTGGTTGTATAGTAGTAAACATAATAATTTGTTATTAGGTTGCAAACATAGACTCTGAAATGAACATATTTTACCGAAAATGGTTCCTAAATATCATAAAAAGGTCTCCCGAAACGTTTTTGATTTTCAAGGTGAAATGTAGTAATGTAGACTTGCCATGTAGCTGGAATAGTACTGTGTACGGTGTTTTGGGTCGGTATGGCAGGCTGGGCAAGCATGGAATGGTTATACGAATAGTAGTAGATATAATATACAGTATAGTTTGACTTCCCGGTTGTAGTAATTTAGACTTGCCATGTAGCTGGAATAGTACTGTGTACGGTGTTTTGGGGTCGGTATGGCGGTCTGGGCAAGCATGGATTGGTTATATAGTAGTAGATGTAATAGTTTGACTTCCCGGTTGTAGTAATTTAGATTTGCCATGGAGCTGGAATAGTACTGTGTATGGTGTTTTGGGTCGGTATGGCAGGCTGTGCAAGCATGTATTGGCTATATAGTAGTAGATATAATAGTTTGACTTCCCGGTTGTAGTAATTTAGATTTGCCATGGAGCTGGAATAGTACTGTGTACTGTGTTTTGGGTCGGTATGGCAGGCTGTGCAAGCATGGATTGGTTATATAGTAGTAGATGTAATAGTTTGACTTCCCGGTTGTAGTAATTTAGACTTACCATGTAGCTGGAATAGTACTGTGTATGGTGTTTTGGGTAATAGCATGGATTGGTTATATAGTAGTAGATGTAATAGTTTGACTTCCCGGTTGTAGTAATTTAGACTTACCATGTAGCTGGAATAGGCTGGGTCGGTATGGCAGGCTGTGCAAGCATGGATTGGTTATATAGTAGTAGATGTAATAGTTTGACTTCCCGGTTGTAGTAAATTAGATTTGCCATAGATTTGTGTATGTAGCTGGAATAGTACTGGTGTAGTGTAGATGTTTTGAGTCGGTATAATTTAGCAGGCTGTACAAGCATGGATTGGTTATATAGTAGTAGATGTAATAGTAGATGTAATGACTTTCCAGGTTGTAGTAATTTAGACTTACCATGTAGCTGGAATAGTACTGTGTATGGTGTTTTGGGTACATGGATTGGTTATATAGTAGTAGTAGATGTAATAGTTTGACTTCCCGGTTGTAGTAATTTAGACTTACCATGTAGCTGGAATAGTACTGTGTATGGTGTTTTGGGTCGGTATGGTAGGCTGTGCAAGCATGGATTGGTTATATAGTAGTAGATGTAATAGTTTGACTTCCCGGTTGTAGTAATTTAGATTTACCATGTAGCTGGAATAGTACTGTGTATGGTGTTTTGGGTCGGTATGGCAGGCTGTGCAAGCATGGATTGGTTATATAGTAGTAGATGTAATAGTTTGACTTCCCGGTTGTAGTAATTTAGACTTACCATGTAGCTGGAATAGTACTGTGTATGGTGTTTTGGGTCGGTATGGTAGACTGCAAGCATGGATTGGTTAGTACTGTGTAGATGTAATGTTTTGGGGTCCCGGTTGCATTTAGACTTACCATGTGCAAGAATAGTACTGATACTGTGTTTTGGGGTCGGTATGGCAGGCTGTATTATATAGTAGTAGATATAATAGTTTGACTTCCCGGTTGTAGTAATTTAGACTTACCATGTAGCTGGAATAGTACTGTGTACTGTGTTTTGGGGTCAGCATGGCAGGCTGGGCAAGCATG